AGTGGCTTACAAACTCCTTTCCCTTTCCCTCCCCACAACAGACACCCTGTGAGGTAGGTGGGGCTGAGAGAGCTCTGACAGAAACTGCTCTTTTTCAAGAACACCTCTGACAGAACTATGGCTTGTCCTCGGTCATCCAGCAGCTGCAAGTGGAGGAGTGGGGACTCAAATCCGGTTCTCCCAGATTACACTTAACCACTACACCAAACAAGTTGTCTTCAGACCGAAGTTGTTCGCAGCAACAACCTTACTGAATCAGATCAATGGTTCATCCAATCCAGAAGTCTGTTTCCATTCAGATATTCCTTGTGGTCAACCAGATGTTCATAAAAATCCTGCAGTTAGGATCTGATGGCAAGAACAGCCTTCTAGTCTTTCTCCACCAGCAACTGTTCAATGGCACACTGTTTCTGGTCATGGAGGTCCTATTTAGCCATACTGACCTGTAGCTGTTGATAAAACCACTTTATTCTGTCTAATTCTCCTTTAAAGCCATCTAACCTAGTGACAATGGCTCTGTCTTGTGGCCACATCTTCCTTCATCCAAAAATGCAATGCGGTGCCCACTTCTTAACTTCGTACTTTACGTATGTACATAGTGGTTGTGCCCTGGTGCAACCCACCCTATTTCATGCTTGAATCCAATTGCGCTTCCATGTCTGAGCATCATATAAGAAACAGCCTACCTAGATGGCCCAGACTAGCCCAGTTGCTACACAAAGGCAGGCAATGACAAACCACCCCTGAAGATCTTTTGCCTTGAAAACTCTAAGGGGGTTGCCATATAAGCCAGCTGTGACTTGACGGACACGCTCCACCGCCATTAAGTGACAGATCCATCAGGTATTAAGCATTACTGTAGGATTTAACAAACCATGCACTTCTAATGGGACTGTTGGGATTTTTAATTGCAGTGGCCTCACACTGCACTTATGGCCACTTGCAAAGTTCCCTTGCGTTCAGGTAGATGCCCACCATATTAACAAGCAGGAGGAATAGTACAAAAAGGAAAAATCATATTTGCGTAACTCATATAGGGTTACCAAATTCATCTTGTCATTGTAATAGAATTCGGGTTACCTTAGAGTGCAGTAGTAGTAGTAGTAGTCTTCTGTTGTTGTTTTTAATAAAGAGCGCAAACAGTCCAAATTATGAATGCTGGATTTAAATGAAATTGTGGGGTGGGTGGGTTGAAAAGAATTCTAAAATTAGACTGTGGACCCAAGAGCTATCCCTACCATTTGTTTTCCTTTTCTTAACTAAAATGATTCAGTGTGAGGAACACAAGATTTTGTGATACTAAGTAAACAGACCCTGAGATATTGCTGACAATCAAAGCTTTCTGTGTAAGGATGCTATGATGCCCATCTACTTCCCTCCCTCAGAGGCAAGATTTTCCCTCCATTTTTCTTTCCCTTTGCTGACTGAGCCACCCTAGTAATGTGTTTTCTTCTTTGCTGAAGAACTCTGGCTGTTCCCGTCACAGTACGATATTTTGGCTGTTGGCTCAGCCCAGGAACCTAAGAGAAGGATCAGGAACCTGCTTTAACCTGCCTTAACTTAAACAACTTAAATGGCACTCGAGGCATTTTGAAATTCAAAAACAACAAAATATTTTCTTTAACGTAGAGGGGAAAGGTCAGGTGAAATTAGGGGTTGAAATTTCTGAGGTAAAATTACTACATGCACAGACTTCAGTTCTTATGTTTCAGGCTAATGAGAGGTTCTTAAGCACTTAAATCCTTATGTTGAGAGGCTTTTGTTCCAGTGTTTTCTCCAAACATTTCAGTACACTTTATTTGAGTATTCCCTGACTCTTTGCAGTACCCAAACCCTTTCTCTTGAAAACTCTTTCCAGTACCCAAACCCCTTCTCTTGAAACACCAGTACTCATCTTGAGTTTTTAACTGACTTTTAAGTCTTCTACAGGCAGTTTTTAACCACACCAGACCAGGAATCTCTGCACTCTTCAGAACTAACTCCCTGTTTGACTGGGTAGGGAAATTCTTCTCTCACTAGAACATCTATCCCCTTTCCTTGGCCTGAATGGGAGTCTTCACCTACTTCCCAAACTTCCTTGCCAACTTTCACCCAGTTCTCCTGTCTGTGTTAAACTCCTCTCAGTCAGTCTTCTCAGTTAGGGCTGAAATCAGACTGAATTCTCCTCAGCATCCAGTTCAGAAAGTCTTTCTCTGGTCGGCTGATGCTAACCAATCAGATCTCTTGGAACAGCCTGCTCAGCTGATGCTAACCGATCAGATTTCTTGGAACTTATGGCTTTCTGTTTCCGTGAAGAATTAATCTTTCACAGTCTTTTATCTGTTTACACAGCACATCTAAGCTTTTAAAAGTGCAGTCCATCACAGATGCTTAAAAATAACTGTGGCACAGTCCATCCAGCCAAAGCAAGTATTAGATCATACACGGATATATTTCAACAGTGTGTAAATCCCACAGCCTCTATTATAGAGAAAACCTAATACTTTAGAGGCTGCAAAGAATGAGAAAGACCCACCATCCTTCTCATAAAGTAGGAAGGGTCTCTTCCATGAGAAGGAATAAATATGAATGGCAGGACAAAGGATTGCAATTATAAGATGCCATTTACTTGCCAGCACCAGTCAACTTTGTTCCGTCTTCAAAAAAAAAACATGCACTTAGGTGCTTAAAAATGTATTTTAATGTTGCTCTTCCATGGATACAAATAATATCCTGTATTACAAAAAAAAGGAGGTAAGAGGTACATGTCTTTTACAATAAACAAAGATGTATCATACAAACAAAACAACCTCCTAGACAACATTGTGTTATTCTAGTCTGCAGGGAATAGTTTGGACAGATTTTTTTTTTAAAAAAAATCACACTCTTTTTCAGCATTAAATTGAAAAAGCCCTTGTCTCAAAACCACAGGATGATTAAAAAGCCTAGCTTCTTTTTCTGTTGCGTGCAGAACAAACATGGCTTAGCTGTGTATCACTTTGTCACTGTCATTTCAATTACATACACAACTGAAGATAGAGAAGAAATGCAGAACACAAAATCTTCCCTGGGGGGGGAAACTGCATTATGTCAATGATGCCCATTCTCAGATGAATAAATATTAAAACTGCCATAGGACCAAAAGTGTTAGGAAGACCATTGTTCTATGAATTGTGGGTGTTGCCTCTCCAGCTTGTGAGCATCCTTCTTCTCTTCTCTACAAAATCCCCCTCCCTTAATGATTTAACTATGGTGTAGTGTTACATCTGAGTCACCTTCAACCATGGCCAGTATTAAACAGGTTCAATAGCAACCAGAATGGCCAATCCTGCTTCAAAACTCAGCCTTCACACTCTGGCTATGTGGATAACCCTGGCTAGTATCAATCATGGTAAATCCTGATACGGATTACAACACTAACCATGGAAGCAAGAAGAAGAAAGGAAGACTGTGACATATTGCAGGTCAAAGAGAAGGGAAGGTTTCATTTGCACTGGACCACTGTGAACTCCTGTATACTTTAAAAAGTTGGCATCCTTTTTGGTAAGGGAGGAACACAGGAACAGTCAGTTATTCTTTCTTTCTTTCTTTTTTGTGAGATTTCAGTGTTTGATTTCTGTCACTAGATGCTGCTAAAGTGCTGTTTTATATAGTCATTGGATGCAAGGATTATCACCTAACCCAAAGAGAAAGCCCTAGAAAACTGCTGGTCCTTAATTCATTGTTGATGACAAGATTAAATTCTCTGTTTCCACTGAATCAGAATGCATTTGTTTGCACAGCCATGCAACCAAGTGAAGAAGCCGCAACCTCCATAGCACTTTAGAAGGTATTCATCTAAGATAGCTACCTGAAAGTATAGCAGGACATTTTACCCAGCATGTTGGTCTAAAATCAACCAAATGTACACAGGGCATGCAGATAAAAGGGTAAAAAAAAAATCAGTACCAGTCCATCATCTGGCTGTTTTGGTGATGCAAACTGACAATGCAGATTTGGAGGTCCTAAAAATCAAAGGCAGGAAAAAAATCCAGCAACCGACTGAAATAGAATGCATACTGTAGAAATTCCCAAGGATCTGTATGCACTATAGAACTTTGTGTAAGCTATGGATAATTCCTTTCTTTTCAGAGTAGGGGGGGTGCACATGCAGAACAGCTGCAACACTGAAGAGAGACTGACAGTTCCTTCTCATGTAAGAATCCAAGCGCCTATCAAATACTCCATATATGCACCAAATTAAATAGTGCCACTGATTTTGGCAGTGTCTCCTTATACCAGCAACTAAGGCATTTTAAGTTTTGTGGGTTTTTTACAATTATTTCTTTAAATATTAGAAGTAGCATTTGAAAAGTCAGAATGTGAATAAAAGATGCTGGATTTAAGATTTGTTTTTACTTTCAATATCATTTTCAGTTTACTTTATGGATCATAAGTCTGCAGCCTTGATCTTGCTTCTGCTCTTACCACTGGCACACCACCTAGTTTCTTATGGTTTCCAGTATTATGATCATCTGGTAAATACAGATGTGAGTAGCTAATAGCAAATTTTTCTAGGGCACCTACTTTTCAGTTTCTCCAGTGGCAAAAGAATTAACTAATAGGGGAAAAAATCATAGTGGCCATAAGGCAACCCTTGTAAAAAGCCCTAAACATAGCTAAATGACTTGGATACACAGGAAAAAAAATACTGCATCAAGCGCAACTGTTTGTTTTTTGGTAACTGATGGTTGTATATGTTTCAAATACAGGACATCATGACCGCATGCAAACATCCACACCTTGACTAATGCCTTGTGAATCAATTTTTAAAACAGGGAAGCACACATACATAATGTTTTACAGCTTCTATTTACACACACTTAGATAGAAATGGAGACATTAATTCATGACAAGACTCAAAACAGGAGCAAAAAAAATGCATTTCTGAGTAATTTAAATGCTAATGGCTGCACTGTTTACTGATAACCCTTCATTCAGTGAGAAAGCTTGTAAACAATGAAGATATACATTTATACAATTTACAGTCTCAGAAGGAAATAAATTTCTGGTTTATCATCATCACTTGGCTTGGTTTCCAGAAGAGAGTCATCTGTATAAAATCGGTCATTGTACCCATAGCGCACAGATGTACATGCGCCTTCGGGGACACCTCGGCCTTCCAGATCTTCTGCACTGAAGTTGTTCAGATAGCTTGCTATGTAAGAGCCAGTGGAATGCCTGTTGATCATGTGCGGAGATACAGAGGGCTTATTTCTAAGTACTACCCCCGTTATATTGTTGCTAGCATTGGAAAGTTTTTGCTTGTTGGCTTCTTGCCTTTCCTTGGCACGACTAGCAATGTTACGCACTCTGCTCTGACTCCTAGATGACAGTTTTCGGACCAACATTTTAGGGCAATCATCATTCTGCTTAGAACAAAATGACTGGCAAACATCTTCCTGGTCAAAAGACAGTAGTTTTCGCAATTGTTCAGTCAGAGAATCCGAAGACTGTGGTCTCTTTGCCTTCAGAGCTGCCATCATCTTATCTCTCATGCCAGATGTAATAAAACCTCTACTGATGTACTTGTACTTACTTTCAAAATTACAGGATATGTCTTCTGAGGTTAAGTCTCCAAGACTCTTGGATTTGCAAGGACTTGGCTGCTTTTGCACTGTGGGAGGAGTGTAAGGTAAAGAGTTCCTGGATGTAGGACTGGATTCCATGTTAGGTCTTTGAGAGATGCCTAAGGAGTCATTTTGTGTATCAGGCAATTGCAAATAATTATTGTACATAACAGCAACATTTTGATATTCTGAAGGAGGAAAACATTGACTGTTCTCACTTCTAAACTTGAAATCTTTACCTACATGAGCACTGTAGAGGTCCTCGTTGTTTATATTTTGGCCAAGTCTCTCTTTGTAGGTTAGAATGTCCTGGTTAGACTTGAGCTTCAAAGGAGAAGCAAGTTGGCTCATATCTTCTCTCTTATATTCATATGTAGTTATCAAGAGATCTTGTAGTTCCCCATCAACTTCCATTAGGCTACTGCCTGTAGAATTCACACATGTGAAAGGGACAGCTATGGTGTCTTCCAAATCTGAGCTGTCGGAAAGGCAGGAGGTGCTGTTACCAATAGATTCCCAGTTTGTCCCACATTTCCTTTTGGGGTTTGCTTTTAGTGCACCAGCAGGTGAAATGCAAGAAAGCACCGCACAAGTGTCTTCTACACAGTGTGGTTTGTCCTTACAGGAAAGCTTGCCCACTGCTTCATGGTTGGAAGCCGGAGAAAGTGAGGCCTCATGGATAATTGTAAAGAAAGAACATTCTGTTGTTTCTGGGCTGGGGAACGCAGTCATTTCCGGTGTTAAATATGATGGCATGTTGGATGTTCTGCTGGGAGCCTTGAGGTCAAAAGTTGTATTTGGATCACTTGGTAATAAAGATGGTAGAAGTGCAGACTTCATACTACTAGTCTTTTTGCTTGTTCCTGGAGAACTTGAACCAGCTGTTAAATTAGTTTGGCTATTTGTAACATCAAACTGTTCTATCAGAGCTGAGACAGAACTACCCACATCACTCTCATTAGTCAAAGAGACCTCATTAATGAGGCCTGAAATGTCACCATCTTGCATGGCTTGTGTGGAATGAAAGTCACTGACTGTAGATGCATTGGTTAAACTACTTAAAGCACTATTCACAACTGTATGAGATTTCTCAGTTTCCTGCTCTCCTTGAGGAACAGGAATCCCTACTGTGGACTTGCTCTCTTCTTTGTACAATACAGCCTCCTTCGATGTCTTTTGAGCCATACAATGTGTGTCTTCATTTTTTTCCTTTACAATTTCCTCCTTTGGATGAACAGTCTCACCGGAAATATTACTCTTCCAATACTCGGTGGAGAAATAGGTTTCAGCTATTCCAGTTGCAAAGTCTAGGCAAGCTGGTTTTTCAAATAAAGGTGAAGTGGCACAGTCACCAGTCTTGGGAGCATCCTGCTTAAGTGGAGATGCAAACTTTGTAGAAGATGAAACTTTCTCAAAGCATGAAGAGACTGCTTCTTTTACATTCATTTGATCTTCACTTGTATTATTTTTACTTTCTGCTAAAAGATATTAAAAAAATGGTTAGAAGCAATGCTCCCTCTCTCACCCACTTACAATTATTTTGCCTTGAGACGGACAAATGGAGAATGTAAAAATTAGTCACAATACGTGAAAGGACTTAATTATGGGGTTGTGCAAGTTTAGTACAAATTATCCAAGTGATATGAAGAAATGGGAAAAAATATAGTTGCAGGCACTTCATTGAAGCTTTTCTTTAATGCTTTATTACATCAAGGGCATGATGTAATATTTGTTGTAAAGAATGTCAATGCGGTACCATAGTTTGGACATGTGGCATTACCTTCAGCTGTGTTCCTATTCAGATTTGTACTACAAAGAAGCATGGCAAACAAAGATAGAACAAAACAGCTCTGTTAAAACACCATCTGCAAACAAGAGGTATGCTTCAATTACATATCTGATAGATGGACTCCATGCATTATGGCTTCAGATCCTTTAAAAAGCTCCTGATTTCCTAATCCCACCCATTCCTCAAAATATTGGAAATGTTTAAAAGTCCATAGACAGGTGAGCTGAGTCGTACCCAAAGAACTGTAAGAAGAGTAGAAAGCGAATGTCACACCACTTCTCCTGCTGAGCAACAAACTGAGATCACTGAAATTCTGCCCCTGGGAACTGGGGCCTCCTCATAAACTGAATTGGGGCAAAATGGGATGGAGGAATCAGAAAAAAATCTGGCAGAGGAGGGGGGCAGTCTTCTTCAGCCAGCACAAAGCAACAGTTGGGTATACCTGTATAGCTATCTTTCTGTCTACATTACTAGGATCTAAACAGATTTACTTTGGATAAAATAGTTTGACCATTGTCATGTAAAAGGGTGACCTTTGTGCTCACTGCAGGCTACCTGCTCCTGAGCAGCAGAATCTCAAGAATACCAGATCTACTGAGAGAAACTTGCCAGTCAACTAAAAGACTGTTAAGCCACTGAGGTACAGCTTTTGGGGGCTGTAATGCACACAGGAAGCTCAAGAGAGAATTCTCTGGTCCCACCTGAGGTGAAATAAAACTTCCCTCACAGGTACCTTTTTAAATATTACAACTTTGTAAGGCAAATATTTAATATGGATTTTGTGGGCAATCACAGGTTAAACTAAAACTATCTTTCCAAGTACACAAGAGGTTGTTAATGTGTATGTTAATGTGGTTTCCAACAGAACTTCCCCTGTGGCATCAATAACCTGCATCTCATCAATGAAGTCTCCAGGAGCATCCCAAAAGCTAGTAGTTTTCCATCAAGTAGGATGGGAGGGGTCACAGAGGGTTTAAAGAACAAACTCTATCCTTTATTGGGAAAGGTTTGGGGGGGAGACTTTGAGTTGGGGTTGGGGAGGGGGGAGATGAGAACTTTGGAGTAGATATGGAAGGAAGACTCAATGAAAAATAGCCAGGAATGGCTGGGAAAGAGACATCTCTAAAGAGAAATGGGGTAACTTGAAGATTATTCTGCCCACCTCTTAAAGCACCATCATAGGGTGGTAAATTTGAAACCTAGGGAGAGAGGATGTGTTTACTGCTCATTTTTTTTCTTTTTTGTTCAACAGTAGACAATTTTTGCTCAACCTATATACTTTTTTTGTTTGTAATCATTGACTGAAAATACAAGTTATTTTTCAATTTTATGAGAATGTCCACACCCACATAAAAACCTAATCTGGCCCACACTTGCCAAGAAAACAAAGAGATGGTGGGGAAATACCTGCCTGGATCTGGATTACTCTTAACAAGTCAGATTTTTTTAAAAAAACACCAATTCCATGTAATTTTGAACATATTTTGAACAAATTAAGTCCATGACTTAATTTGAAGAAAAGTCTTTAGGAGACGTTTAAAAAGATTCTAGGTACAAATAATTACACAAGCTTACATGGGTGAGGGGCAATAAATCTGGAGAAATGAGCTCCTCATTTAGCATGTAGTCCGGTTTGGGACTTGGGCCAGTTGAACAGCCCCTGAGGGACAACAGAGTGCTTTGCAAGGCCTATTACCCCATATCTTCTATGAGTTTATGCACAAAGCATATGCAACATATATTACAGGACAGCTTCCTATCAAGCCAAGATCCTTGCCAATGTCAAAACTTTGCTGAGCTCTGAAACATTAACTCAAATGGCTCAGCAGTGCCCATAACTGCACAGCAGTGCTGACTGGATAAACTAATGGTTTCAGCATACACTGACAGAATTTTGCATACTCATTGAGATCTTTTTTTTTTTTAAGCCACCATAATTGTTAGCTACATATACAGGCCCTACATGAATAACAACCATCTATAACAATTGCTGCCTCCAAAAAGTCCTGCCAAATCACAAGCCCACTTGCAACATCATATGCTTCTCTGCAGTCAATGGAGTTTCTGAATTCAGGGACATTTTCAGGTGGAAATGAATGTTTGGTAAGCAAAAAAGGAGAAGTATAAGGAACACGTAGGGTAACGCTTACTCACCGTATTAAATTCTTTGGCAACAAACAAATGGCTCAGTTGCCAATCTTTTCAGAAACAACCAGATGCTAATCAGGCAACCTTTAAAATCAAGTAAGTGTCATTACTTGACCTGTGCCATTTGGACCCAAGTCCATATGACAAGCTCATGACAAAGCATTCTTCAGGGCTGCCACTTAATTAAGGGGCTTCCCTTGGAGACCAGTCCAAATCCAAAACTCAAATGTTCAGGATATGCTGGAAAGAACTCTCATCCCACACACCCAGCAGCATGGAAGTGATATGACCAAGTGCTGCTGGAGCTCAACACATGCTTTCCATGTGGAAGATTGAAGGATAAATTGATAGCTTCTCCAGTTAACAAGAATCTCCAGGGGCCAGGGGGTGAGGCAGAATTCCTTTGCTAGAGGTCTTGGAGAAGCTATCCACCAATCAGATTCAACAATACTAAGCTAGAGGGACCAATGAATTGATCTGACATGTTCCTCTTTAGAAGTCACATGAGCAGGACCAAGTGTGTGTTCTCCATCATTCATCTGTTGTTCTCCAGCCAATTTCGTAGTCTGGGGGTGCTCTGGAACCCAGATAAGCAAATGGCAACTGTGGTCAGGAGCGACTTCACCAGCTGCAGCCTTTCCTCAGTCAAAAAGATCTGGCCCTGTGGTGCATGCTCTGGTTGCATCTAGATTAAAAGTATTCAGAAACTTCAATTTGTATAGGATGCTTCCACCAGGATGCTGACTGGAGTGGGTCGTAGGGACCATATCACTTCAGTCTTAGCCCATCTACAGTAGCTTCCAATTTGTTTTCAGGCATGGTTTGGGACCAACATGCCTGAAGGACTGCCAGATCTCTTATGAACCCGACCAACCATTACAATCATGGTTGGAGGACCTGCTTCAGGTGCTCCCACCTTCTGTGATTAGGTGGGTAGCAACCCTGGAAAGGGACTTCTCAGTCATGGCACCAAAGCTTTGGAACCCTCTCCCCAGAGAGATTAGTCTGTTCCTGTCTACTGCCACCTTCTGCCAATGAATGAAGACTTTTTTTTTGCTTTGGTGGGCATTCCCTCAATGATCCCTCCTTTCTCACCAATGTTTTTGTGTTTTGTATTCATTTTAACTGTTCTGCATGTATTTTCACTGTTTTTAAAGAATTGTTTTGATTACATATGTTTGAGAGGGAGGTTGATTTTAATGGTTCTATAAGGTTATTTTATCATGTATGTTTTAAATTGTTAGCTACTTTGGCATCACTGTTGTCCCTGCCATGCTGATGTGATGCCATGAACCGTATGACTGTAGAGAGGTAAGGAAAAGCTCAACATTGAGTTATTTTGTAGTTCACATGAGTTTTGGAGTCTTGCTTGTCATACAGCCCAATACCATGTTTGTCTCCTTAGAAGTATGTCCTACCAAGTTCAACTGGACTGATTCCCAAATGAGTGTGCACAGGATTATTAGCGGGGTGGAGAGCTGAACTTATGAAACCTTCTCAAAATGAATGGTTTGAAAGTCTCATCAGAGGCCACTTACCAGAAGTATTTTCAGCTTTAGTCGTATCTGAAACAGTTTCTTGATCCTCTGACTGTAAACCCATTAGAAGGTATTTGTCAACTGGCATGGATACAGGACGTGCTTGCAAACTCCTGCTGGTGCGTCTTAGAACCCCATCCCTGTGTTTTAAATCTCTTGCATCGGATACACTCTCTTTAACATCGGTGGCTTCCTGAAAGCCCATTTTGGTCTTCTTCCTGCCCTTTGCCGGGGCACTGGCTGTACGTCGGAGAATTCGTTCCCCAATCGATCTTTTCCGAACACAGTGACCACCATTTTCCACTGAATTGTGTTTGGGGTTCTTGTTAAAAAGCCCTCGGAGTCCTATCAGCTGCTTGCTCTAAGAAATAAAGAAAGGGAGAAAAGATACTGCAGATTTTTGGAAATGCATCCTGTTTTATAGAAATGCATTTCTAAATTGATGCTTACATACATTATTCTGAGCCAACGAATGAAAAGGAACCCCAAGCAAATTAGAACCAAAAAAAATCAATTAATGCACAACAAACCCACATCTAAATCTGTTTATGAAAATACAGGCACAGCTCACCATGAGTTCATGCATGCATGTGAAAGTGTTTCTCTTCATCTGGAAGGCAGCCTGCCATGATGGCAAAGGACCTTTTATGAGAGGCTTCCTAATCACACATGACAAGCTTGCAAGAAATGCCCCGAGGTGAAAGGCTGCCCTGCCCAGAGGCATGGAGTTTTATGACATGGGCCACTTCAAAGCAGCAGCTCAAGGTGTCAAAATCTTGATGTGAAATGAAGTGACACGCCAGCTACAGATCATGCGGTTGGGAACGCATCAAAGTTATCTGCAAAAGCAGAAGTGCATGCTAAATAAAGGCTACCTTTGTGGCTCCTAGAAAGTGCATTATAGTATAACTGGGGTTGAGGATTAAGGGGCTCCACTGAAAGGCAAAAAAAAAAAAAAAAGCAAACATGTTGGGCTAATTTTTTTTTTAATCAGTCACAAGAAAACAATATGATTTTTTTTTCAAGCGTTTCTTGTAGATAGGTCTTTGAATCACAGGACTGGTTCAAATGTTTTTTGCTGCTTCCTTCTCAAAGGGTGCCCCGAGAATTTCCGAGGGCAAAGTAATGTCCCCATGTACTTCATCCATTTTCATTGTTTGCTTAAGCACGATAGCTTTAAAAAAAACCCAACAACTAACGCTATGCTCACATGGATTGCTACTAAAAAGTGAAAACTGTAACTGGGTTAGGCATTACTACTTCTGTGTGATTGCATTTGAGCAATATGCCCAGCATTAAATGCCCAAACTGGCCCACAAGGTTGAAAGGGGCTAACAGATTACCTGTGCTGCACCAGTCCCTTGCAAAACAGCCAAGGAAGAATATTTCATGTAACCTTCCAATGATCTGTTGGTTTTTTTTACAGTTAGGAAAGAGTTTTCATCTCCTTGGCCTGGATTTATCTTCCTACAAATTGAAATGCTCTTCTCTAGCTAACCAGACAGCCAAGATCCAAAGTGGGTCATGACGATGCCTTTTATAGAAAATGCAGGAAATCACCTACCCTATCTTCTATGAACAAACCGTTCAATTTTTTTTTTTTGGTCATTTGTATATTTTACTTGACACCCTCTTCTAGTCTAGAGATTGGAAAATACCTGTTGCTTCTTGATATCCATTTACCTGATTCTTGTTTTAATCAGGACCTGAGTCGGACATCAAAGCCTTATGTCATACAGCAGTCATACAGGAATCAAGAAGCCAAGGATAACACATTTAATCAAAGCAATAAGACACCGCAACAAGAGGCAGATCATGAGAGGGAAGGCAAGGAGAAAGGGTGGCATCATTGCTTAGTTCTCATGGCCCTTTCTTACACACCCAGGGAAATGCTGATTGCCACTTTGGAGTCAGGAAGCAATTTTCTCCAGGCCACTTTGGCCAAGGATCCTGGAGGGTTGGGTTTTTTTGGCCATCTTCTGGACAGGGGTCATTGGGGTGTGTGGGGGAAGTTGTGAATTTCCAGCATTGTGCAGAGGGTTGGATTAGATGACCTTGGATATCCCTTCCAAGTCTATGGTTCTATTATTATAATAGCAGCCCCAACCTCTAGTCAGGGAAGACAAACTGGGGGGAGCACTCATAATCAGTGGCATTCAGTTCACTCAAGCAGCCAAACCCCATTTCATACAATTTAGACCATGTCCGCCATGATCAGTGCTGTATTATTTTAGGGAAAGCACAGAGACTCATGTTGCCGACTCAGCTCTGTGCTATTGGGGCGGGGAGAACTCATGATTCAAAGCTATTTAAAGCTATCTGGCAACATTATTAAATCTTCATGCTGAAAATTGACTAAGAAGCGTTTGCCCTTAAATTAGCTTCCTTGCAGATGAGCAAGCACAACATAAATGCAGGCTGACTTTCCAAAACACAGAACAGGATAATAATCACTTGAACTGAGGTATTTACAGGGCAATGTTAAGCAGAGCTGCACTGCACAGTTGACAAGTCTCTGGCTTTTCAGTTCATTCACAGGGCAATCCTAAACACAGCTACATCCTTCTAAACCCAATGGACTAATCCAGTGTTTGAGATTGCATTGGGAGTCTTCTTTTATGTGATTAGAGCATCTTGATAAATATGCCAGACAAGCCAAGAAGACTGAAGAATACTTTTAGGTACATCAATTAATCCATGTTTCCAAGTGACATCTTGCTAACTTGCCCACCACTATTTCCTGAATAACAAAACTGTCAAGAAAAAAGATAGGGTCACCAGACACTGGTTTGTTGTTTTAAAACTGCTCAAGGACTGGAACACTACATAAATGATTTATGGAATGAACATGAAGTTCCTACTCATCTGCAAACCATGAATACTTTCATTCTCTCAGAATGAATTCTTTGAATGTACAGCAACAGCAAACAAATTAAGATGCTCAGTATTATGACCCGTTCAAGAAAATAGGAGGGAATTTTATTATTCTGCTCTATGACTTCTCTTAGCCAGTAAACAAAGCTGCCATGTCTCATAAGCTTAGGTTTGAGCTATGCAGCAGCTTAGGTTTAGCAATGCTTACTTTAATTAGCTTGCAGAAAAACCCAAGGTTTTCCAGGTGTTTTTTCAAGACTTTAGATAGACAGTGTCACGGTTTCTCTCCCACCCCAGTCCATGGATGGGAGTTAAACTAAGCATTCAGCAACAATTAAACAAACCCCAAAAGAATGTCTGTACACTCTCCAGGCTTTACCAGTAGTCTGCCACCAGGATCTCTCACAAAAAGTCCCCACCAAAGATCAGGAGCAGAGATCCCAAACTCCTGCTTGATTTATGGGACTTACCAACTTTACCAGCTCTGTACTAGGGCTGCAAACAATTAAGTACCACAGTGGTAGCCTCCTTAGGCGAACGGTTTAGACACAAGATTCAGTCTTAGAAATCAGGTTGCAACAGAGGAAACAAGTCCAGATAATATTGATTATATATTATCTTTATTCAGTGCACAAGCATGCATATAACATGAGACTAGGAAAAGATAAGAAAACAAATTATATCTATAGCTTGTTCAGCTCTAACTACACAATAGAGGTATTCCATAGTTATCAGGCTTTTAGAGGCATCAGATGAAATAATCCAAGGTCTCACCAGGGGATCTTGAAAAGGAACCCCATGGTACCAACAAACAGCCAGTCCAAAAGAACTCTTTATCTCCCGAGAGGAACTCCTTTTTCCCATATGGATTATTGCAGTTATACCCCCCTTCCGTCACCACAAGGTATGGCCATTTACCCAATAGTGAGAGAGTGGGGAGGCATGTCCAATCTCTGGTTACCATGCGTTGTCAGGCAAGATATGTTTTGATTGGCTAGGAGCTGGGCATCCCACTCCAGCCTCTTCAAGTGACCATGTGTCATGTCAGGGAATGCTTTTGATGTGCTAATGTACTGGTCATAGCTCTTCCCATGCTTGGGAAGGTGCCGGCAAGTCGCCACCTGGACAGGTGACAAAAATTACACTACAGTGTCACCGGCTAAGGCCATCTGACCCAGGCAGGAAGGATTTCAGAAAAGGCCTTTTCTGTACAGACAGTGTTCAGCATTTTTGTTTTTTCAAAGTGTGTTATCTTTAAATGGTAAATATATGAACTTTAAAAAAAAAAATCTAGCAATCCCATTTTGCAAAAGTGGTGTTTATCAAACTGCACTGGGTTAGATCCAGATTAAATTTTCCAATGGCGGGATGGAACTTTCTGGCCTCCCCCCTTCCACTGCAGCCCACTGATCTCCACAAAATGCTGCTCATGGGAGACAGAGGACCCTGAGAAATGACATGGGGTGGTGGGGGTTTGAAGTGGCAAGTAGGTATGAGTGTAAATTGCCAATTTAGTCTGGATCCAACCCAATGTCTAGCAAAGCTCTTGCTTTCATCTACGAAGATGATTCCTGAGCAGCATACAGAAGCTCCCAGTAATGTATTTTAGGGAACCAATAGCATCTCAGCACTACTAAAAAGGCAAAGGGAATGTAAGGGGAAAGAGGGGGTCTGGACCACAGGCGACCCCAGCCTGATGTCGATTGAGCCTGATGTCGATTGAGCCTGTGCTTTTACAGTATTTTTGCCTGCTAGATTTGATACCACTGAGTTGTGAATTTGCCAAGAGGCCTTGGAGTCCACTTAATACAAAACAGCATTTTGATTTGTGCATGGTCATTGTGCCTATATTGACTCACTATACCTTTGATCAAGGATTGTCTTTGAAATGGTCTTAATATTACGTACGATACCGCTGGGGTATATTGGACAGTACTTTCTCTATGGACTGTTATTGCCTCTAGGAGAGCTTGTGCTTGTGGACTATTTTGGATCGTATTACTTTAAGAATCATCATTCTGTGATTTGTGTGACTATGTGGTGTGCATTACATTCTTTTGACGTGCTGTATGTGTTTATATATTTTATATATTCCTATGAGTATCATTATTTGTCTTTAAAAGTTTTGGAAGAATTTCCACCTTTTCATTTCTAGATTTACACTCTTCCTTCCTGGTTAGTTTTGTGTTTGTGACAAATACAGCACAATGTATTGCTCTCTACCTCCACAGGGACTTCCCACATATGCAGGAAGGTATGGCTTGGTAAAGACAAGAAAAACTCTTTTTAAAAATGCCCCAAAAAGTTCTAAAAACACTCCCAAAGAGATAAAGTACTGACAGCAGCACGGGAGGAATGGGCCTGCTCAAGATCCTGACAGCCCAGAGAATCCTGGACAAGGAGATTTTGGAAGGATTTTCAAATTATTTTCCCATCCTATGATTCCTTGAAGCTTATGCATTTATATTGCTCATGCTGCCTTTTCCTGGTTGTGCTATCATCTTCTACTTAAAACCTATAGGTTAAATAAGTAGTATCATTTGAGTAAGTGCTATCTTCTTAGGCAAATGCTTTATGAATGATTTAAAAATTACCCTAAGGCAGAAAAATCAAGAAAAAAACACTATTTCAAGGAAATGATTTCTTTGCCATAATAAAACTTGAAGCAAGCTTTCAAACTTCCCATCATTCGAAGTACAGGGAAATAGTAACAGCTCTGTTGGGGGGGCAACAGTGGGAGGGCCTCTAGTGTCCTGGCCCCACTGGTGGACCTCCTGATGGCACCTGGTATATTTGGCCACTGTGTGACAGAGTGTTGGACTGAATGGGCCACTGGCCTGATCCAACACTGGCTTCTCTATTTATTTATTTATCTATCTATCTGTCAGATTTATACCCCGCCCTCCCAACCAAAGCCAGCTTTTCTCTTACGTTCTTATGTTCTGAAATGGCTGAAAACCCAACTAAAAAGGGCCAAAACAATTCCCCTTAAACAAACTCAGCTAAGATTGTTGCACCACACTGAGCCAATACCAAGCAATCATCATGCCTAGAGAAAAGAGCCGGTTCATTTAGACGTTGTACCCCCAAAACTGAAAGGGAATGGGAAAATGGCCAGTGAGAATTTGGGGCAGCTTAACATGAAACACAGAGATGCACATCACTTTTCACAGTCCCATTCAAATGCAGTTCAAGTCATTTATTTGTCCATAATGCTTACGGTACTAAGGTCCAGCTTTTGCTCAGAAATCATGTAAAAGTAAACTCAAGTCATTTGAGCTTTGAAACCATGAGAGACAAGAACAGCTGTCTAGTGCAATAGGCAAATTGCAAGGGCGGGGTCCACACATACAGGAGGAGGAGGAGGTGAGAATGGGGATGGGGCAGAATGCTGAGCAGGAACCACTTCAGACTATCGGTCGAGGAGATCACTTGTTGAGGGCTCTCCCACCAGCTAAAATACTCCCTGAAAGAAAAAACGGAAGCACAGAGGGGACAACAGTTCTAGGTCTGCCTGCTGGTTTCCTGTTCGTGGAGAATTTTCAGCACTGGGGGGGGGGGATGTGATCCTGCAAGCCTGAAGGGGTTCAATTCATTCAGCCACCTCAGCATTCTGCTGCACATGTAGATCCTTGAAGTCAGTGCTTCAAGGACAGAGGACACTGGGCAAGGAAACAGACGTTTACCTGTATGTTGCTGCATGTTGTCAGCTAAGTGGTTTCACAGGGTCTGCACGTGCAGGGTTAGCATGCCAGGGACTTTTGTCATCTGGGTGGGCACAGTGATGGTTTATTAACACTGCGTGCTTTTAAAAAAAGAGGATACCATGTGCAGCGCTGCACAAGTAAATTCCTTTTGTTTGCTCTGCCTTGCATTTAAAGTCAGGCTTGACTGTGATGGAAAATAAACATTGTCCAGTGGCACCTTTAACACCAACGAAGTGTAATTCTGGGTATAAGTGTTCGTGTGCGTGCGTGCACACTTCATTAGATACATGCCATGAGCCCACGAAAGTTTATACCCAGAATTAAACTTTGTTGGTCTTAAAGGTGCCACTGGACTCAAACTTTGTTGTATTGCTTCAGATCACCTGAATCTATCTTCCTGTGATGGAGAATGTGTGAGTAGCAAGTACGGCTACACACAGAGGCACACAGAGAGTATGCTGAGCATATGGAACAACCAGGAATTGTCTTAGATGAAAAATATAAATTTCCTCGGCTGTTCAAATGAAGGAAGTGAACTGGAGAACACCTGCTTGATGCTCAAATTTGATGCACCTTCTTAAAAAGTATTGCCCTTTTTAAAATGCCACATTCCTTTAATACACTGTTGCTGCTTTTACTGCCCTTATAATGTGGGATGGTTTGGGAAGCTGTCCTATGATGCTATTTTTGGGGAAAATTATAGCATATTTCATCACCCACTCTGGAAAGAGCTTTCTTTACAACCATAGCTATGGTTTAGACACATGCCATTTAAACAATCTTTCAAGGAAGTATTTTCACACACCCGCACACAGGACAACCCATACCCCACTCTTACCTTTCCATAAATGTCATTGATTGTTATGTGGACAAATATAGAGGCTTCAGTCAGTCCCTCTAAGTAAACATGACGATAGCCTAGAGAAAGTGGGTTACAAAAAAAGTAAAATGTGTTTTTCAGTTAACCAAGATGCCACCCATAGGTACAGGAAGACTACCCAGAAAAGTCAATGGATTCAGCTTGGAAGAGGAAGTCAACAAATCCAAAGTTAATCCATCACTTACAAACTGCAAAGCCTTTTGCAACTATTTTATGGACACTTGTATTATTGATTTTATGATCAACTACTCTTATGCTGCTTTTGTTAGAACTTGTTCTTGTATTATTTTGTCTTACAGTGTTCACTTGTAAGCTGCTGTTTGGACCTGGAAAAAAAATTGGGATTTCTGAAAAATCCCAGATCCCAGTACTGGTATTGTATTTGGATCGGGGGGGGGGGGGGATTGGAAATCCCAAGTTTTTTCTGGTCTAACAGAAGAAAAAATGGGGGAGGGGAGTAGCAGCAAAAGATAGCTGATTGCTCCCCCTGTCAGCTGTTTTTCAGGCTTTCTTCTGCATTCCCTTTAAACAGGAGGCATTTAAAAGGACTGCAGAAGACAGCCTGACAAACAGCGGATCCACGAGGAGCAGTCTCCCCACGGCCTCAGCTGATTTTAGGGGTGGCTTCTCCTGCAGCCCCATTTAAACTAGGCTGCATGAGAAGTCAGCCCAAAGGTGACCCAGCAGGGAGCACTCTGGCTAAGCTGATCTTAAGGATGGCTTCCCGTGCAGCTCAGTTTAAATGAGGTTGCATGAGAAGCCAGTGGAAAGCTGAGCCAACAAGGAGCAGACTGCTTTCCACCAGCTCAGGGGAAATTCGGGCTGGCTTCCCATGCAGCCTCATTTATATGAGGTTGCAAGAGAATCCAGCCAGCCCAAAGCTGAGCCAACAAGGAGCACTCTGCTTCCTCCTGGCTCAGCTGATCCTCGAGCTGACTTCTGCAGCCCCTTTAAACTTTAAAGGGACAGCAGTAGAAAGCCCAACAAACAGATGAGAGGTAGGAGCAATGAGCTCCAGCCTCTCCACTGTTTTTCAGATCTACCACAAATATATCAGGGATCCCCCCCCATTTTCCCAAAAAAACCCAGATATCCTTCGGATGCTGAAATATACCTGAAAATACCAATAAGGTGTTTTTCAGGTATATTTTTGGCTTGAGTAGATCCAAATGCACACCCCTAGGAGGGACTTGGGAATGTTCAATCTGGAGAAGAAGATGTTGAAGAGGGCAAAATTGCTCTCTTTAAGTATTTGAAACGTTGTCGCTTAGAGGAGGAGCTACTCCTCTTGGCAGGAGAGGAGAGGACTTGCAATAATAGGTTAAAATTATGGGTGGAAAGGTACCAGCTGGATAGTAGAAGAAAAATTACAGTAAGAATACTTCAGCAGTGGAATCAGCTGTCTAGGAAGGTGGTAACCTCCGCCTCCCTGGCAGTCTTTAAGAAGCAGCTGGAAGAACACTTGTCAGGGATACTTTAGGCTGATCCTGCACTGAGCAGGGGGTTGAACTAGATGGTCTCTTCCAACTGTATGATTCTAAGTCCTAAATCATTCACTTTCTGACCATTGTAGTTAAACGGCTAAGAGAGGATAAACTGAAATTAAATCCTGTCAAGATGGAGGTAATGCTGGTTGGGAAGGTGGAAACTTCTAAGCACACTGCAATTCCCACCTTTAATGAAATTCAGCTGACCCTTACTGACTCAATCAATAGTGTAGGGGTTATAGTGGATCTAATATTACTGCTGGAGAAGTAAACTACTGCAGCTGCAAAAAAAATACTCTCTACCAACTTGAGCCTGGCAGATGGCCCCCTGCCTTGACACAGCTGACCTGCAAAGCACTCTACATAGGTCTCTCCTCAAAGTCAATTCTGCGACACCAGTTGCTGTAGAATGCCACAGTTTGGTTATTATCAGGAGCTAGGCAGACCATGCTCATTAGTCCCATTCTGCAGTCACTCTATTGGTTGCCCATCAGTTACTGGCTTCAAATCAAGGTACTGGTTATCACACACAAAGCCTTTCATGACCTTGGACCTTCATATCTGCAGGACTGCCTCACTCCCTATGCTCCACCAGGACAACTTTGCTCATCTGAGGAGGGCCTTCTACAGGTCCACCCTGCAAATGTGCAAGATCAACAACCACCTGTACATGTGCATTCTCTGTTTTGGCTGCTACCTTATGGAATGGCCTTACCTTCTTACATAAATTCCTGACACAGAGATCTGCACTGGGTTTTATCAGACAAGCAATGGTCCAAGGTTTGGTGTTCCTCTACTCGTAGGTCTAAATCTATAAATATACAAGCTTTAACATCAAGATGGTATCTCACACCATCAAAACTACATTATATTAATCCCAAAATAATCCCAAAATGTGGAGAACGAGGTTCTTATTTTCATAGTTGGTGGGACTGTACTTATATCAAGAAATTTTGGAGATTAGTCCATTCTCAAATTCATAAAATTACAGGCTAATTCCTTTCCCTTCTGAACTAATGCTTCTGAATCTTTGGCAATCTACTATGATCCCCTCAATTTGACGAGATTTGATGGCCTTTCTATAGGCAGCTGCGAGGACAGTAATAGCCACTTCATGGAAAAATAATAAACCTCCATCAATCTTGGCTTGATACCAGCATGTTTGGGATTGTTACATAATGGAAAAAATATTAGATCAACAGTCACAGACTGATAATAGCCTTCATATATCTCATTTTATTGAAATGTGGTACCCTGTAATAGAATTTATAGCAAACAAGGAATCGTTTTTTCACCACTCTTATCTGATAGAAGTGCTAATACTATGAGGTTTTATGCATGTTTATCTCTCTCAGATAGTTAGTATAACAAGCTGGTATGTTTACTCTCCTATTAATTGTTGTACTGGTTAACTATTCCGTATTCTCTGTAAATACCGATAATGTTATAGAATATATGTATTGCTCATGATACTTAAAATAAAAAAGGAAAATGAAAAAAGGAAGGCATTGCAAAAACTGCAAAACAGAATTATTCAAGTGGGCATTTTTACAAAGGTTATGAGGCTTCATTATAACAGAATCATTCAGAAAGTTATTTTAATGAAGGGATGCACACACATGGAAATAAACAATACTAACCAGGCAATAGGCTGCTGAAAGCCACAGTTCTTTGTCCAACAAAGTCTCGTCCAATTGGATCATGATCCCAAACCAGAAACCGAACTAATGCTATTTCAGGCATGTGGATGGTAAAAGTGAGAGTTTCTTCCCAAACAGGATTAAACCCTGAGAAGTAAAAGATACACACATGAGCTTTTGGGGGGAACGGGGGCTGTAGCCATCTGTGCAAATTCTTATCACAATCTATTCGGGGAAATTAGACATTCACTGAACAAACTATCCAGGATGTCTATCTTGAAATCCCAAGAGTTATCTTATTGTAATATGGAACTAGTTTCTTCTGGGCCAAGTAATGTCTGTAGAATACTGCTACTACCAAGAATATAAAATTTGGAAATGCCTTGCCCTTCGTCTTTAGAAAAAGACAGGGAATTTCAACCATTTGTTAAAGCTTGCTGCAGCTCCATAAAACTCTGCACCACTGGATATTCATTACTTAAAATTCAAACAAATAATTTAATATATTACCACATTCCTTACCTATGGGGCTTGGGAAATAACTGCAGTGCAAAATGACTCAGGAACAGTTCACAAATTATGTTATTCATGCACCACCATTTTATCAACTTTCTAATAATAGATCACCCAAAAATCTAAATATTGCTGCCTTTGCCTATCAAGCATCATTATGAAGCACCATGATCAGGCAACAGCCACAACTGCCATTGTGAGGCCAGCTAATGATTTATTTATTTATTTATTGTGAGATTTATAGCCCGCCCTCCCCGCGAGCGGGCTCAGGGTGGTTCACAAACTGGGCACGTAGGCCAATGGTTAAAACGGTTAAAAACACAATAAAGCAATCATTTCTAGTCAATTTATAACAATACAAGGTGCTCTAGAAGTCTCAAAAAAGGTCTCCAGTCACAAGATGGCATCCTGATGGTGATGGTCCCAGATCGGTGTTATCAGTTCCAGGCAGCACTATCCGTTCATTGTCACGGGGCCTGATGCTGCTCAGGTTGCCCTGCTCATAAGAATCTCACAGGTGGGGTGCTTAAGTTGCTTGACTGGAGAGGTGGTATCTTTTCTCCTACTAATATAACAGTTCTGAGAAGCTGCAGCTTGGGGAAGGTAATAGAAGAGGGAACCTTCAAATGGAATCAGCACAAGTCCAATCCCTATGGACAGGCCACTTGTAGGTAGCCAAAGCACCACAAAAATGTCCTACACCCTCCAAAAAGTTCTAGGTTCTGTTTTATTTATTTCTACAAACTGATAATAAAGACAGGCAGGCAAAAAGGAAGAGAGAGGTACCATGAAGCAGTCTCCTTCCTATGGAAGCACAGTTTGACCGCAGCACAGAATATTAAAGTTTAAATATTGGGGGGGGGGGGGGACAATCACCAGAAGCCTAGTGCTTGCCCTCTGGGTTACCATGCTCAACCAAGCTTTGCAGCTGTTTCTTATCTGACATTGACTGGAAAGAAAAATCAGTAGTCAATTGACAAATGACTTTACATTTGCCTGTCAGATACTTCTGAGTATCCTGGTAGCTAGCAAAAAAACCCTTTTTTTGAATAGCTTTACTTCTCAACTCCAATTCTATGATTCTAGCATTGAGAGTAATTGAGAGACATAACCTTTTTTTACAACCTCTTGTTAAGCAAATTCTCTTCACCTTATCTAGGAATCTTAAGCGGGCTATTCTGCTTCAATTTAAAGGCACTGATCTTTATCCGCTAAAAAGAACATCAGGCTTTGTATACATTACTCATGCTTAGCTTTCTTTTAGCCTTAGGACAATTCCTATGAAATATTTTGCGGGATCTTTGCCAGCCAAAGGATGCATGCCATTATTTAATAGTAATGAATGATGACAGAGTATGATGCAGCTCAATGGAAGATGACAAAATAACCAACCACAGTGGACATTTATATGCAGCTGTATATAGGCTTCGAGCTTCCAATCCATTTAAATGGAGGAGCAGTTCAGCTGAAGTGAGGGGGAAACATAGTGCTACAGGAGCTCCTGCATCCATATGGAACAAGTATTTTATTATTTTAGCCTTGACAGTCAAGCAAACAAAGGGCAACCCAACCCAAAGTATTCAGAGTTCAGTTCTCCTGTGACAGTAATCAAACATGGTGCTTACTGAATTCATCCCATTGATTTCAACAGGACTAGTTCCTACCTTCTAAGAAGTGCCTAATGCACTCTGACTGTGCCTTAGGAATCATTCACTGATAGCCAATCAATAGTCACTGACTAGCACAAATCGTAATGAGTCATAATAAGGTTCGCAGTCACAATTGATAAGAAAAAACTTAAAAATTAACTCCCACATATAATGAATACATGCAATGAGTAGTAAGTAAAATTATTATCAAAATTCTTCAATATGCATATGTATCTGGTGGATTTTACAAGCTGCCACACAAAACTTCACACTAAGTGCTGAGGGCAGGAAGGGTTGCCTCAATGCTTAGTTCTTGTGGCCCTTTCTTACATGCCCAGGGAAATGCTGATTGACACTTTGGGGTCAGGAAGCAATTTTTCTCCAGGCCAGTTTGGCTGGGAATCCTGGAGGTTTTTTGTCATCTTCTGGACTTGGAATAGCAGTCATTGTGGGTGTAGAGGGGGAGGTATTTGTGAATTCCCTGCATTGTGCAAGGGGTTGGACTAGATGACCCTGGAGGTCCATTCCAATTCTATGATTTTAGCATACATTGAGTCTGGTCGACCAGAATACCTACTGAGTAAGGGAAGACCAAACTTAGAACGGATCTCTAGATAAAAAGAGCAGCGAACTAAGATGTGTTCTGTGGTTTCGATCTCCCCCAAGCCACCGGGGCATAGCCTATCTGCCTTGGGGGCCTTTTTATATCACCCATCCAAAACTGCAGAAGGGAGTGCTTGACATCTGGCAAGGGAGAATGCCTTCCTGTAACTAGGAATCTCCAACTAGGAGAGATAAGCAGCTGGTGAAATGACATATCTAGAGCTTTCTGAAGACAAGTCGCTTGGTGACCTCTCTAAATCTGTCTGCCACTCACTATCCACCATCCTTTGCTTCCAAATTTGTTTCGCCTGCCCCATACCCCATTTCCAAGACAGAATAAGGGGGAAAGCCCAAACGCACCAACTTGTTACTAACTGCCTTTAGCCATGTAAATTGATGATTGTCTTGAAGAATCAAGGGGGTTAAAGCCCTGAAGATTAAAGTTTAGCTTTAGCCAAAGATTAATGAAGCCAGTGTGGCAGAAGATCTGGGAAATCCATGTTTGAATGCCTGTTCTTCCATGGAAGCAAACTGGGTGACCTTGGATCAGTCACATTCTTAGCCTAACCTTCCTTACTGGGTTGTTGTGGGGATAAAATGGAGGAAAGGGAAATTATGTAAACTGTTTTGGGACCCCACTGTGGGAAAAGGTGGGGCCCAGCCATTGGTCTGGGACTGATTAAGGACTGAGAACCCTTGGGGGACTAGTTCTTTCAGGGTGGCTGTTTCACCTTCCCTTACCCAGATCTCGGTCACACGTGGCAGGTCCACTTCTTGCGCTGCAAAGTAATTTTGCAGCATTCTGGTTTTATTATTAATGGACCTGGCATTGCACAACGTCAGTGTGGGAGAAGGGTTACACTTCTGAGACTACACACAAATGTATCTCGGGATGGGACGAAGGTTGAAGGTGACCGAGCATAACCATATCTCTGTATCTTTCCCTTCCATGGGCAGGCTGCAACTATATCTATGGAGAATTCCATTCATGTGCTATAGTCCTCCATATAATATAATGTAATGCTTCTGTGAAAATTAAAATTAAAAATACCTCTCAAAGTACACGCAATATCAATTTCACTATCAATATAATGCATTCAGCTTGTGTCATAAACCATCAATTTCAACTTGTAGCTTGAAAGCATATCAAACAATAATAGGGTTACATTTCATTCTCACCACAATGCTGAATGTATGTTGTTACTTGAGTCCCCAAGGTCTCTATTTAACTCAATCACAGCTAGTTGCTTGTAATTTAAGTTCCCAAGCTATGGTCCTCCATATGACAGTATCACTGGTGATTCTTGTGACATACTACTTCTAGTCCTTTTATAATGTGAAAACTTGTTCCAATGTAGGCAGTGAATGCGCTGTTAACCAGCATCCACAAGGAATGGGGATTTCTGGTTAACCAAGTATGCTGGTTAACACAGCTTTTACCTGGCAGCGAGAGGGCAGCATGTGAGCAGACTGGGCAGAACCCTGAGTTCTGGGCATGCCAGTTAACCCCAGTTGGTTAATAAATCTGTTACTGTACTATTTGACAAGGTGCAAGAAAGAACAACAACAAAAGGAAAACAAAGTTAAGGTCTGAGGAACAACCTTTGAACCAAGGGTGCCCCAATCAGACTTGGGCTTCTGTCTCATTGTCAAATCTGACTTTGGAGGAAACAAGGAATTGGTAGACAAACCCTTAAATGCACAACAAATTAACAAAGAGACTGCAGGTCTCATGTCTTACCATTGTCGTCTACCACTCTGGTCTGGTCTTTGCAGCAGTCAACTGGTAACCCAATAATTTCCACTTCAACAAATGGATCAATTATCTGTTCAAGACATTTTTAAAACAGAAAGGAAAAAAAACCAGTTATCTCAAATATTCAATGTTTTAAATAAGATTACGAGCAGGATATTAATAGTCTCAGCTTGTGGTCTAAACTTGCCCACCATCATCTGTACACCTACTAATCAAGTATCTTTCATAGCTTCCCAAGAGATTAAAGACAATTCCATTGAAAGTGGGTGGTATAAGTAAGACTCACTAAGAAATTTTCTGCTTAAGTTTATGTGATTACTGTCTCCTTACTGGTGAAACTGTTGTGACTATTTTTCAACAATTAAATAGCTTTGCCGATAAACTTGACCACCTTCGGCAAAAGTTCAACACCTTAATTCCAGAACCTCTGCACCCCTTACCCCCCTCAACTAAAACAAAATTAAAACAAAAAATAAACAACAAATCTCCTAGCTTAAGAACATAGGACATACAGCTTTCCACTGCAGGGGGAACAAATAGTGAAGAAGGTATAAAGCTGTGTCACAGATCGTAAAACCATCAAATTGCATTATTTATTAGACATAAATTTGTGAACCGGGGATGTTGGATAAATAAAAGACAAATTCTTTACTCCCTGAGTAAACTTCTGCATGTAGAAATTTGTCATATTGAAAGTCTCCCATATACTCCCTCTGGGAGAAGAGTCCTTCTAAGTTTCAACCAGCCAACAATTCCCTCAATACTTTTGAAAATGTGGAAATTTTTATCCTCCTTTGAAATCTTTACAACCAGAGTCTTCCATAGACAAAACTGTTCAGACATTAATTCCAGGGACTACAAGTACGAAACCTCCCACTTATGGCCTTGAATCTGGAGCCTTTTTAAACACAATTGACAATGACCCAAGCCTACTCCAAAATGGGGACAAAAGACTGCATATCAGTTCAAACAAGATCAAGGTGCCAGATAAAATAGAACAGCTTTATCCTCACACTCTCTGAGGAGGTCTCTTTTGGGGGAACAAACAAACATTTCTTCTACATTGGAGAAATGGAAGACCTCATCGCAGCTCCTTCATACTTCAGTCAAGCCTCTTAATTTATTTCTCCCTGTGAGTCTACTGTCCAACTATAAGCTAAAGACGCAAGCCTACAATGCTATTTTAACCTCTCCTATCCCTGACATTGATAACAGTTCACAGCTTTCTCATGACCTGGATAAGTCAATATCCATCTCTACCCCATCAAAGGTGCCAACTCCAGTTTTCCAACTGTGTATAAAGTTGATGTATCAAAGGGGGAACCAACGGTTGGCAGCAAAACATCTTAAGTAAAGACCAACAAGCCCCCACAGTAGCCTCCTATTATACAAATTAAAGTCCAAAGCATCTCTACGGAAATCTTGGGAGAACAGCTGAGTCCTGAGAGTCCCAGCACAGCGGAGTGTGAGAGCAAATTGGAGGCTGGGAGGAAACTGCAGAACAAAAAACTCAAGGAAATGTTAGGCTGCGGTCACACATAACAGAAGCCACACAAGTGAGACGGAAAACAGCCGGAGTTTCCGGGCGCGATCTCACCAGCACATCTGGGAAGCGTAGCACTCCCGTGGCTCAACCGAGGCTTCCAGCCGAAACTGCGTGGCAAAAAACTAGTACCTTGGAGGTACTAGTTTCCGGAAACTGCGGGGCAAGGGCGGGCGTCTGATCGCGTTTCCGGTGGCATCCGGCGCCCGCCCATGTCCCCTTGCAAATAAGGTGTTTTTTTTGTCCAAGTCTCTGTGGATGCGCATGCGCACCCAACGGAGCATGCGCATTTGTCATGTACACAAAAATAAAAAACAGTTTGCCGCGGCGCGCGCTTCTTCGTTGCGCGCCGGCTTGTCCTGTGATCGGCACCTCTCCCTTGCCATGGAACCTCCACGGTACCTCCACAGGACCTCCACAGGAGGTCTGATCACGTAACTGCGCAGTAGTTTGCCCCAGGGCAAACAGCCACACTTCTCCTCTGCAGTTTCCTGCCTGTGTGACCGGGGCCTTATAGAGAGGTTTTCTGCAAGATGTCAGGAAGAACTCAACGAGATTCATCAGAACTACCATGGTTCATCTGAGGAAACATGTCAAGAATTGGAAACTAAGGAGGGTTGCACAAACTTATAATGATTAAGTAAAAGCAGAAATAGCCCAGGGAATACAAACATTCCTTCTACATTGGAGAAGTATATAGCAACAGCTCGGCCTAATGGGATTATTCAAGGCTCTGTATCTAGACTTGCGGTTCTTAAGAAACACATGCCTCTTCCTGTAGGAAAAATGAGAAGCTGGGGAGGGGGGTAGCAATGAATTCTGTCGGACAATAGATTTGTGATATTATTTCCAAAATAGAAGAGGAAGTCTTCTCATTTGCTCTCTCCCCATCCACCCCCCCCCTACTGAGGGAACCCACAGTGTTAATAATTTTTATATTGTCACTGCTATCTCATGAAACAATTTTGAGATGCTGTGTCCTTTATTTCTTTTTCCCCCAGTATGGATGTGAATTTTAAACTTTTCAACTTATTAAATAAAAGTATCTCTCACAGCAAGAGACTTAAAATAATCAACAGGATCCTGGGAACAAACCAGGAAGGCATCCAAGCATTCAGATGTACTCGTTAGGTGAGGGCCTATTATTCTCTGTAGCTGTTCAGTTTCATTATGGCTTCCTGGAATATTTCTGTTGCCCTGCTGTTTCAAATATTTTAAGTTGTCATTATTATGACTTGTGATGGCTACCGCTTTTATTGATTATGGGTTGAATCCTACTGCCATTTTGTGAACTGAAGAGGGAGAAGGTGTGGTCTTAGTTTCTCCTCCTTTCTGCAAATCCCCAATCAATGTGGCTTATGGGATGAGTTCCCTTCCTCTACTGGTGCCTTTTCAAGGGTCACAGAAAACGTCCGGGAAAACAAGGAAATATCTGCTTCCAATCAATGGATGAACAGGAGGATATATTATTTGTGCCAGCCTCACTGAATATCTTTTTAGGCATAAATAAGACACTTAAAAACATAATACAAATATCATCATCTACACATGCGTTCTATCTCTAGCATCTCCAGTTAGATGATCTTACATAGGACTGAAAAAGTATCCTGTCTGAGATGCTACGGAGATGACACCACTTAGTATAATCTGTGTATTTAATTAGCAAATTTATATTCTGTCTTTCCAATCACCTACTCAATGCAGCTAGCAAAATCAAAAATGTATTTAAAAGGGGATTAGACAAGTTAATGGCAGAGAGGTCCATCAATGGCTACCAGCCATGGTGAGTAAAGGGAACCTCCATATACAGAGGCAGCAAACCTGTGAATACCAGTGCTGGGCCTCTATGCGCTGCTTGTTTGGCCCTCCAAGGCAACTTGCTGACCTCTGTGTGAAACAATATGCTGGACCAGATGTACCACTAGTCTGCTTAAGTAGGCTCTACTTAAGTTCTTAAAGAAACAAAATAATAAATAATACAAATTTAAAAATAGAGATAACAACTAAGTACAATCCATCAGAACTCATTTCCTTGCAGTGAAAGAACTTCTATGTTAAAAAGTCAGTAGTCAATAAAAAGCAGGTTTGAATAAGTACAAATTGGTATGGTCGGGGTGTTGCAAGAGATTACAGGATTTAGTCCAGTGCAATAGAGTGACGCAAAAACTATCGGGTCTTGATCCAGGTGCTTCTTTAAAAGTTTTCTCCCCCCCCCAATTTCTTCTACAGGCAATTTGTTTCACTTGTCTGCCTGCCTGCCCTGAAAATCAGGATTTAAAAAAAAAATATTTACCACAGCCTACCTTATATAACTCTTTTGGTACATATTCCACAGCAAAAAGCTTGAATAAGTCCATAATTGCTGCACTTCGCTGGAGCAGCAAATTTTATTAACAAATCTTTTCATCCCCCAGGTTCTCCAAAAATGTCAAGGGTGTGAAAAGAAAATGCAGTAATGAGGTAGTAGGGTCAAATGTTCTATGCCCCTCAAAAAAGGAAATGTTTTAAGGACAATGTAGGTTTTCCAGCTACAATAATAGAAAGGAGAGGTTCTCTTGCTCAGAGGCCAAACCATTTGCCTTTACATTTTTAATATTTCTCTTTAGGAATATATCCCTAAATTATTAATACATAATAAACACTATATTTTGCATTTAGGCATCTTGAAAATTAACAAGAAATGTAAAACAGTAGCTAAAATAGCAGTTAGGAGGAGGAAAAACTCATAGTTAACCACTGTATCCTTAAAGCAATTTGAGGTATGATTAGGAGCATATTCATATATCAAAAACTAGGCATTCACCCGTACTGATCAATATCATTTCCATGCATCACCAATATTTTTACCTCTCCTCTGTCTCCTAACATGGAATCAGGAGGTTTCGGTAGCTGCTGCCCACTGATAATTTTAAGTATAAGTTGCTTCTTAGGGAGAGCAGGAAGTGGATCTGCTGAGTATGGGTTAAATGTACCTAAGGGGGTATAAATATGTGAGAATAACATCTTATGCATACATATAAAGCCCACATTCATTCAATAATGATGGAGGGTGAGATAAATTAGAATTTAACTGCAACAGTCTCCATCCTTCACACTTTTACTATATGAATTTCAGAGCATTAGAGCATATTTATCTATTTGGGTGTCTAAGCTGCTGGTCTAGATGGCAGCAAGTACTTCAAGCATACAGTACAATAGTGTTGGATTTCAAGCGCCACATTTACATTAATTATCTAATGAAATGATGGTAAACAAATACCCTCTGCTGCTTAGTTAACTGGCTTTTCTGAATGATGCAATAACTACCCAAGAACTGCCATTTCTACATTAATGAACATACTGAATTGTGGTTTTATAAAATAATAAAAATGTAGCAGTGTTACAGTATCTGTGACATTCCATATAACACTACCTTTGCACAGCTGTTGAGGTTTCAGGATGTATCCACAGTTGCCATTCATCCGGAATTTGGCTTGGTTCAACTGCATCAAGCGCCCATCGGACTGGTAGTTTAACGCCACTGTGGAGTAATATTTCTTTTAAATCATTATTAAAGTAACAGGTTCTATGAGTACAGTGCTTGATATCTTTTCCCATCTTTTGATGATGATCTTTGGTGTCAAACAAACAGAACTAAATCTAACAAAGTATGCAGGAAATGCTAACAGTATCTCCACTGGGGCCATTTTGGCCTATTGTCTGTAAAGGTTTAAAAGGTAAAAGTTTCCCTTACTTGAAAGGTAGTCGAATCCGACTCTAGGGGGTGGTGCTCATCTCCGTTTCCAAGCCAAAGAGCCAGCGCTGTCCAAAGACATTTCCGTGGTCATGGGGCCAGCATGACTAAATGCCGAGGCGCACGGAACGCTGTTACCTTCCCACTGAAGCGGTACCTATTTATCTACTTGCAATTTCTTGCTTTTGAACTGCTAGGTTGGCAGGAGCTGGAACTAGAGACGGGAGCTCACTCCGTCATGCAACACTAGGGTCTCGAACTGGCGAGCTACAGACCTTCCAGTCTGCAGCTCAGTGTCTATACATACATACATATATACGTAATAAGGCTAAATGTTCAAGAGGGTATCGCACAAAGATCTCTAATAGACCAGCACCCACATTTTATTAATCCAAGGAAGCCTAAAACTGCCAGAACTTTTCAAGCAGCTGAGGGTCATATGCTAATGGTCATGTGTTAGCCAATGGCTTGGATCAGGAAGAAAGAACATGGGGAAATAAATAGTAAACCACCTGCCTCTCCCCCACACTAACAACTCCCCTTGGGGCTTCAGACCAAAAAGGCATAGGAGAGAGTATTCTGCTCCTTGATCTCCCAGGGTTGGACTTACCAATTTCTGATTATTTCGCTTGCTGGTTCCAAGGAGACAGCAGGCCAAAGTCACAGCTGCATTGAAGCAGTGGTGGCCAAAACCAGATAATGTTTTTGGCCAGCTGGAGATGCATGATCATAAACCCACTTTCAGTAGTTCTGTGAAGAGCCAGCATCAAGATGCCAAAGTAACATCGTCAAAAGACTTGTAGATGTCATGCCAATCAGGGGTACTCACCCAGTTGACAGCCAGCATTCCAATAAGGTAAAGGGTTGAAATTGCTGGAGTCAATTCGATATGCAGATGGATAGATTCTGGTGAGCTGTTTCTGGTTATAAAGCATAAACTGCTCTACTTTCTGTTGCAGAACCTGGTGAGCTCTTGTTTCGCTGAAGGATAACACGTTCCCAAAAGAACCTGCACATTTAAAAGTAAATAATTGCTAGAAAGGGTTATAACCATTTAAATTAAATTTTCAGATTTCATTCCCATGTGTGGCTTAAATGCTTCTGTTACAAATACAGATTTAACTGTAGAATCCTTGGGAACATATGGTATAACAAAACCTAAATAAATCAAAACCTAATAAGTAACTTGTTTTCACGGAAAGAGGGTCTGGGAATCTAAGAGCACTCTAATTGCTATCTTTTTGCTGAGGAATAATTCTGGGGCAAAACAGACTTTCAAATAGACAGAAATGTTCCTGACAAATTGTACCTTTCGTTCTTTAATGCATTTCTACAGTGTGTTTTTCAAAAATCCTAGCCAATCAGGGATAACATGGTATAACAATGAGACATAGCCAGCCAGATTTGTCTATGTTATCAGTTAGGCCAACTGAAGCTAACTGTTTTTACTGAATGGACAGTAGGGGGAACATGTTGACTTTTTGTTTTACTGTGGTATGTTGCTGCAGTGCAAAGCAACAAAACAGGAAGATTAACACAAATGCCAAGTCAATCAGCTGATATGTCCCCCATCAGATTCTCTTCTGTTGCCCATTTGATAACTGAAAATGGTAACAACTCTGGGGATGCAAAAGTTTTCAAAAAATCCCTGCCTTCCTTTCAGATAAGCTACATAACTTTCACTATCATATTAATAAATGTCCATAAGGCCATTTTCCAACGGTATCTATAGCTGTATGTCAAATAGATCACATGTATAATGTAATGCTTCCTCCTAGAATCATAATATGGAATAATATTCAGCTAATTGGTAGTTTAAAAAAAGTGATGTTCCTTTAAAAAACAACAACACTGGATTCCTGGGATTTGATTTGAATATGTAAGACTGTCGCTGATTCAGGACTGCAGCCAATTTTTTCAGATCTCAAGGTTAACTCGAATTCTGTATGAAGAGAAATGGATCTTTGGGTTGGATTCAACAGATCATATTTGCTGACGGAAAGGTTTCTGTCACTGGAAGTGCTCTGTGGGATCCAAGCTACAGACTTCAGTTTAATTCAAAGAAGGAAGCACATATTCATATGTATCTGTTTAAGTTATGAAGGAGGGGGAAAAGCACTGAAACTCCACTCCTTGTATACTGGAAATCTTAATCAGATCCCTGAGATTTCACAAAGCATTGAAGATGTAATTTCAAGTCCAGCCTAGAGACCATAAAGACTTGAAACTTGGGCCACAATCTAGCAGTTTTGTCCCACTAATTTCTCACTGAAACCAATGGCATTTGTGTGCTTAACTTTAAATTGATATGTCATTGGGGCCGGGGGGGGGGGGAAAGTTAAGGATGGAGAATTCTATATGCCGTCCCAAATTTTACTCTTGCTGTGCTTGTGCTAAATTGTAAGATAGTGTGGCTCTGATTACAGATCAGGAGGTTCATTTCATATAATTCAAACGCTTAATTCCCCTAGGCAGGACTGTTTCTTGCAAAACCAGTCAGTGCGCTTTCCAGTCCCTTTCTGACTAGCGTTCTAACACTATTCTTTTGGACACAGAGTTTTGTAGCCTTACGCTTTGACTCCGAACTCCACTACCCACCCAGCCTCGGCTGAAACAAGCTTTGAAAGCACACTGGTAGCCCTAGTCACAATATTGAGACAGTATAACTACCTTTGATACTTGTGTTGTTTTTCTCCCAATCGCCCTCACATAGACAGCCTCACCCAGACAGCTACTCTAATTAACCACTGCCCTCAAGCAGAATCTTGTCACTTCCTTGGGCTTAAAGCTGCTCAGCAGAAACATGTTATTTTCACAAAATGAAAGCCACTCGTTGGCATTACTTGTCAAAACTCAGACAAGGTAAAAAAGGTGTAACTAAAAAAGCCGCTTACAATGCAGAAATGCCACTTCCTGAGGTGAATGGCCTGGAAGCTATATTATGAGGAAACAAAAGACAAGCCAGCCGGGCTTAAGGCCCAGGGCAAACAGTCAGAAGAGGCAGAGAGCAAGCTCAAAAAGAAGGAGGGAAACAAAGACAAAGATCCACTGAACACAATGAAAGATCTATGATTTCTACATGGCGAGGGTGTTTGTATACATGCTGCCCCATAGGCAACCCTTTTTGTTTAAAAAAATGTCATTGAAAGATTCACAGCTGTGTGCCTCTCTGGCTTGGGATGCATGGGGGGGGGGGAAATTGGATCCATGTCCCTTTTAAATTCTGCATCCTTCACCAGTGGTGTTTGTTGAAGCATGGGGATATTTATTGTCTCCTTTTATGATAGAAGGGCCTTCTTCAAATTTGAGAGCAGAAGACAAGAGATCATGTAAACTTGAGAAAGGGTCGATACTTAAACAACTTCTGAAAGTGAACGGGGGGAAACCCATGATTGACAGATGGAGATGAGGGAACAACACTATGCACTCCACAGGAAAGACTATCAACCACATCAGAGATTTTAATCTGGCTCTAACTGGCATCCTTCCCTGACCTGGTCAGCCCAGTCTTGTCAGATCTCAGAAGCAAAGCAGGGTCAGGCCTGATTAGTACGTGGACAGGAGAGCACCAAGGTAATCCAGGGTTGCTACACACAGTCAGGCAATGGCAAACCACGTCTGAATGTCTCTTGCCTTGAAAACCTTATGGGGTCACCCCGCCATAAGTCAGCTGGGACCAATGTTCCCTCTAAGCCGCACAGTCTTGTGAGCAAAAATTCTCCTTTGTGAGTTAAATTAAAGTTGTGAGCCAGCGATTTGGCTACTGCATAAATCAGTTTGCTCTGGAGCCATCCTTCCTGAGTCAAGACAAAAATGTGTGAGCCGGAGGCTAAAAAACTGTGAGCTAGCTCACACTAACTCAGCTTAGAGGGAACACTGGCTGGGACAACAACACTTTCCACTACCAACCGGTATACCTCATATGCATGATTCCTGCAGCTCGGGCTATGGGTTTATACAGGCAGATGCAGATATTACTAATCTATGCAGTCTGTGTTTTCAGTCTACAGATGGACCAAGTGTGGCAGATAGTGTGAAATACCTCAAAATGGCCCTTGACCATCATTTTGAGTTTGAAAATAGGACAATATGATTGCAGTTCACAGACGACTCACTCCAGAGCACACTTGCTGATATTCCATTATCATCTCTATGACTATAGAATGAACTCATCATTGTAAGTGATTTGCAGACTCCTGCCTTTGGGAGCAAACCACTGGGAACTTCTCCGATGCCAGCCAAGCCAGAGTGAATGAATGAAGTGATCAAACAGCAACACTATGCTTTTGTACAACTAACGATCAAAAAATTGCTTTTGTCGGAGAAATTCCCAGTGCTTATATCCCTCACATAGGAACAAATAGATATAATTCCATCAGGAAAAGAAACTTAAGTAATGCCTTACCATCATCAACAATGTCTTGAGCTGCCACAGAATTCGTGTACACCACTAAATCAGAAAGATCGCGGCACAGCTTCATCGTTTTTCTCCGCCGACCCAGCCTAATGAAAAAAACATTTTAAAAGGTTGATTTCCCTAGAAATAGACAAGATGGTAAGCTACTTTCTTCTATTATACCAGGCTTACTGTCAAAAAGCCCAGAAGAATCCACTATCAAGCATGAGGGTGTTTTCTTATATAACTATAGTTATTAGTTGACTAGAGGGCACTCTATAAAGAATATAAGAAAAGAAAAGAAATAGGCTAGCTAGAAAGAAAGAACATTTCTAAGACTCTACATTCATTTTAACCCTGTATATCTTTCGTATGCATATCCTATTTATACCAGTCCATTAGAAACAGAAGCATCTGAACAAAAAAATCAGTTATACTATTGAATGAAGGTGCACAAGAAACTTCTGAAAGGGACAGCCTGAAAAGTAATTTTGTATCTGCTTTATTATATTTACTACTGTAATGAGTTTAGACAGGATTTGAGGTACTATTTACTTGGCTTGCATTCACCCACAACTAAAATCCAGCAGTGGTGCTGTTTATTCTGAAAGCAATTTTTACTTACAGTCCAGAAAATAAAGGTCATTAACAAGTCTGCTGGAGTATGACTGCCCCAGCAAAATGAATTCCAGCATCTGATGTCCCAAGAGACTTAAGGTTAAAACAGGTGAGACATTAAGACAGCCATCACCGGACCTTCCCAGGGGTTTTTTTTTTTAATTAATTTCAGGCATTTGTTGTTCTGATTTGGAAAAGGTCTGCAGGGGGAAGGGATAGTGGGTTTATTCCTCCACAGTTTTGGCTACTGACTGCTTTCCTTTCATAGCACTGAAAAAGCAGCTGTGTCACTGATATAAATATGATTATATGTATTTAGTAGTGAGATGACCAGGGAGGGGCTATGCATACCAACCTGCACAGCTGTCCGGATTCCCTTCCAGAGCAGTTTTGTTGAGAATCCTCATCATCAGATGTGCTATGAGATTTGGACCTTGGTTTAACTGCCTTCTGCTTGGGAAGCCAAAAAACACATCGATATTATGAATACCTCTCTGTATGAATGAAGCGCTCTTATTGTCCTTCACGGCCTCTTAAGTCAACATGCAAAGAATTAAACGTGGACATTCTACATGATTTGAGGCTAAAGCGGCTCTTGCCATCTTATGAAAGTCATTAAAATATGCAAGAGCATTTTTTTTAAGATTCTCAAGTGAAGACCTGTGTGCACACAGTGAAAGACACGTTTCCCACTAACATTATCTATAAATAAGAGCATCTAACACTGACACCTTTTTAGAAATTGGGTGAGGTCAAGTGGGGTTTTTGCACAGCAGGGCTTCTGATTGGCTGTGCAGATTTTTTAAAAAAAATGTTGCTTTGGCAGCAGCTGCTACCACAGCACAAGGATCTTCAGTGTGTGACTGGAGGTAAGCTGCGACAGCCCCTTCATGGTTGCTTCCGTTATGCTGCGCCAGAATCCCAAAGTTGCCCACAGGTGACAAAAGGTTGGGGACCCCTGATATAGCTGGACACATGCAAAATCAAGGTATTTTAAAGGATGGGGCTGTCTCTTCAAACCCTTCTGCCACTATCATTAAGGAGAATACTCTATTTTTCTTTCAAATATGAAGAAAGCGAGACAGGTCTAATTAACTGAAGTGAATGTGTTTTTAAAATATTTTGCAGCCTTCGAAATAGTCAGTGGCTGTCACTTCACAGGCTGATTTCTCTAATAAGGCTCTTGCTATATATTGTTGGTTATCTCATCAGTGTGTTGGGAATTTCAGTTGGTACTACTAGTGCCCATTAGCAATGCTGAGAGAGACTTGTGGAACTCAGCTGTGAACTGAATGAATAATACAACTCATTAATTTTCCTTATGATTCCTTGAAAGCCAGAGAACTTTACATATGACCGAATGTGTGCACATCAGGCGTCTGCAGCTTGCATTTATAAAGTTCTAAGTCAGCCTGATCACATACAAGAAGAACTCCTCAAACATAAATTCTCCTTCACATATCCCCAACTGAACAAGACCTGTGCAAAGTGGGAGTTCCAAAGCTCCGACAAAAGATTACATGAAAAAGTTATAATCACAGTTGGGCAGCCACTAAAAACCTAACAGTTCCCTGGATGTGGTTATATGTCAGCTTGAATCAAATCTACGCAGGCCCATGACAGGGTGGAACTGCAGAGAGCGGTTAATGCAGTTGGGGAACACAGTGACAGGCAAGTCATGAACACAATGTGTGAACAGGGCCAGGAATAGATGTATCCACTAAGTTCCCCCTAACTGTTAAGACAATAGGCCAGGCTCTGCTTGACCCACCTCAGGAGTATATCTATAGACATTTATTTCTTTAACTTGGATACTGTGACAGAAGAGGTCTTACAGGCCCTCTATTCTACCATGGGATGCTGAATTGACCCAGATCTAAACTTGCTAGATCTTAATAGTTTACCTCTCTGGCTTCATCCCATCACCCCAACAGAAAGGATCCCGTCAGCACTTGCTACTAGCAAGACCAAGGAGAGACATTTGGTTTGTAGCCCTCCTACCAACCAGTGCCCACCCCCAAACCCTCTGTTAAAATACTCTTATAACATGCTTAATGATCACAGGCTTTCCCCTACCACCTACTCTAATTTACTCTGAACATTGCGGGGCAGGAATCCAGTCCATTACAGCAATCCAAATACAGTCAAGAGTTTCCTTGACTTCTCTCCCTCTGTCTTGTTAAATGTATGCCCAGATTAGTTTTTGTGGTGCAGGGCAGCCATAGTGGAACATCAGTCTCACAAAAAGAAATGTTAAACTTCATTTGTAAATAAAACCACTGTTTACAGAAAGGAAAAACACAGTGCAAAAATGTCTAGCTACTGAACAAACAATACATTAAAAACAGAGTAATAAACACAAACCCAAAACTGGCCATCTGGAAGAACCAGCATGCCCCAAACATACCATAATGAGAATGTCATTTTATTAGTAGTGCTAATGTCTTCTTTATTATTGGTGTTAATTAGCAGCACTTATAGTGCTCTATTAGTGCTGCCGGCTGCCACTGGTAACAGCCGTATTTTTCTCACAGCTCTGTGCTACCTTTGGTTTCTTATCCTTGGTTACTGCTCAGTTGAAACTGTTTACTAGCAGCTAGTCAAAAGAGCTTACACTGAAAACACGGAGAAAGAGCTGTGTGTATCACCACAATTGGTGCTTCCCCATCTGAAGTCAAACTGCTCCAAGGAGGGACAAATGCTGCAGCTAAATCAAGGGACAAAACAGTGTCAGACCAAGTTTTGCAATATGTACTAAAAATTCCAAAGTTGCCCCCTGCGTGCGGATAGCTAAATCCGCACATCGGGGGCACCTGGAGGGCAGGGAGATTTTCCTGCACACTTGGGGCAGTCCCCAGGAGTGCAGAAAAATCTGAAAACTTGGGGAAAATATAGGGGGGATATTTAAATCCCCCCCAAAAAGTAAGAGCATTCCCTGTGCGGGCTGCTGGTTGGAAGTTGCTCAGGCCTCGACTTAGGAGCAGGGGTGGGAGAGGAGATCGGCGGCGACAGGAGTGGTGGAGGAGATCACCGGAGCCGGGGGGGGAGGAGACCACCGGAGCCGGGGGGAGGAGGAGATTTGCGGTTGCAGTGGAGCAGACCTCCAGAGTTGAGGGGGAGATCAGCAGCGGCAGAGGAGACCGCTGGAGCCGGGGGGGGGGGGGGGGGGGAACGGTGGGCACAGCGGCGGGGAGCTGCTCGGGCCTCTGGGCCTCGCCGCTGGGAAAGGGGGGGGAGGGGGGAATTGGCGGGCTTGGTGGCTGGCAGCCACTCAGGCCGTGCCACTGGTGTCTGGGGACAGGGGGGAGGCTTAACTGCTGCTGCTGCTTCCTCCTCCTCCTCTGTGTGGAGCTCTTCTACCCACCCCCCTGCGACTATCGCGGGTCCCCTTTCTTGTATGTACTAAATCTAACCCTTGGCAATTGTAGATATTTTTTGTAGATATTTCTGACCTGCTATGTGTTTGTTTGAGAAAACAAATAACACTATTGTAGCACTGTGAGTCATATGACTGTACTAAGCTTTCTCATTTAAATGATTTATTTAAAATATTTATATTCCACTTTTCTCCCGAGCCGTCTTACATTAAGTCCAAACACTGTTCCATCTAGCTCAGTGTTGCCTACTTTGATGGGCAGCTGCTCTCCAGGGCCTCATAAAGAAATAACTCTTCCCTTACACATACTTCCTGAGTCCCTTCTGCTGGAGGTGCCAGGAACTGGACCGGGGGCTCTGCATATATAAAGCATGTGTCCTGCTTCTGGGCTATGGCCCTCCAAAGTATGCATCATCACATGCAAATTATTATCCAAAGAGTGATTAACATATGGAATTCACTGCCACAGGAGATGGTGGCAGCCACAAGCATGGACGGCTTCAGGAGGGAATTAGATAAACATATGGAGCAGAGGTCCATCATTGGCTATTAGCCACAAAGTATAGAGAGGAACTCTCAGTCTGGGACAAGTGATGCACTGTATTCTTGGTGCTTGGGGGGGGGCAACAGTTGGAGGGCTTCTAGTGTCCTGGCCCCACTGTTGGACCTCCTGATGGCACCTAATACTTCTGGCCACTGTGTGACACAGCGTTGGACTAGATGGGCCATTGGCCTGATCCAACATTGGCTTCTCTTATGTTCTTATCCATAATAGGATTACTTGCATATTGTACCCCCCCCATTAAAAAGTAAATTCACGGAATAATATGCAGCCATCTCTCTAAGTGTATTGTGAAAGGCAGATGACACTGACGTATTGTTGAATTTGCTGCCTAGTTGGGACAGCGGTCAGCAACATGTGCTTTTTGCCTCGGCAGTGGAGTGAAAATAATTAAATATTCACATCAGCCCCGACTGGCACACTGGGATTTCTGGGAAAGTAACATAGAGGACCTCTATCCTGCAAAAAAAGAAGAAGGGAGTCTAGTATTTTAAACTATTCACACACGTAACTATCACCACAGTGGAACAACTCATCATTTGTTTGAAGCTTCAGATTTTCTGTAGTTTCTTCCTAGGATTGGTTATGTATCAAAACCATTCAAATAATGCATTAAGAGTTCTAGCTTCACTTACCTTATGTTTACCAAAGTTGCTCATTAGTTTACTATGTGACTTCTTGTTTGTGTCTTTCATATCTGAATTCTGGGGACACAAAACTAATAATGAACACACCTTAGGAATTAAGAACAGTTTTTAGTAAACACATTTATTTTCCATGTCATTCTTCACTGTATGAAACATTAGACTTTTTATGATGCACAGCTAGGCAGAAAACACATGTTGAAGGCAAAGCCAGTTGAAATAAATGGGATGTATGCACTGTATAAATGGTGGGGGGGGATGTTTGCTATGGGGGGTGTTTTTTGCAGTCAAGTCACAGCCAATTCATGGTAACCCCATGGAGTTTTCAAGGCAAGAGATGTTCAGAGGTGGTTTGCCATTGCCTGCTGTGCTACAACCTTGGTAATGCCCTGGTGGTCTCCCATCCAAATACTGACCAGGGCTGAACCCTGCTTAGCTTCCAAGATCTTATGAGATCCAGATAGTCTGGGTTATCCTCGTCAGGGTGTAAATGGTGTCAAGATAACAATATTAATGATACAGGATCAGAGTACCTGAAATGGTGCCTCTGTAGCAGTAGAGGGTCTCTGCCCATTTAAGTTCCCACCAGCAGAACAACCACTTCCATCAAGGGAAGTCTCCATACAATGGAGGAAAGCATCACTGCTAGTAGAATTGGCCTGTGGGATCCAATCCATTATTTCTGATTTCTAGACACTTTTTCTACTAGTGTCAACAATTACTGAGACAAACAATAAAGTACACTTCATTTATAGACCCACATTTCTCCCAGAAAACCAGGACCCAAGGTCGGTAACAACTACAGAACAAAGACATCATTAAAAAAAACCCACCCACAACCATTACAATAACCAGCAATAACAAATTCAAAATATTTTTTTAAAAATAAAATATCAATGTGTGTGTCATATACACATGTGAGTGTAGGCACTTGATTACATTAGGCTTTCATAATGAATTAGTTTCCCTGGTGTTTCCCTGATGTTTTTGTGAGTGACGCAGCCAAAGAAACATGCTGCATTTTACAGGCAGTTACTGGCAGGCTTGTGCCTGGTACAATAGTCTCTTCTGTTCTTACCACATAATGAAGCATATGCTACCCCTGCAGTATCACACAGGCAAGGACTCTTGTGTGGTTCCAATGAAGAAAGTTATCTGTGTGTAATAATTTACTGCAGGCTTGTGGTACCCCAATAAGGAAAAGGAACGAAAATACAGGAACATGACTCTGCATCAGAATCAAAAGGAAGCTATCCACATGGACAAACATATCAGCCCTCGCAGTCTCAAAACCCTTAAAATAAATGGGGATTTAAAAGCCTATAGCCACGGAGACAGGTGCAATGTTTGTTGGGCCACCTGAGATTCATGATAAGAATGATCCCCTGGGTCATCAGTTTGATGATCTGTGGCAGGATCTAGTGTTGCTGTCAGAACATCACATCCCTTCAACTGTCTGCAGAGCCGAAAAGGCACCAGAAAAAAATATTCCCTCAGCTATTCGCAGCACAAAGTCCTTCTCGTTATGCAATATGCAGCCTGTGGCTGAAATGTATTTCCATTAGTTTTTGTTTTGTGAAGAACAAGAGACTTTGCCTCCTTGGTTCTGGGCTTAGTCAAGCTTGACAAATTCTAACCAACGTTTTCAGATATTTATTTTTCAGGTCAGGTTTAAGAAAATATACTGGGGAATGACATCTCTTGAAGATGGGTGCTTTCCACATACAGCCCACTACAGATGGGATCTCGAAGAACAGGGAAAGGTATTCAAGTCAATCATACCTTCCTCTCTCGGTTTCTTTGAAATGTCTGAATTGGGTCTCTGCATTTAAATTCAAGGGAACATAATATGCAGAAAGAACTCAAATGTGCTGTATGAAGCACATGTAAATAAACAGAGGCATTCACAGGAGAGTAATAGCATCATGAATGCCTGCTTGAAGGAGCAAGCATATATAGGCCCATTCCAATAGCTGCGTGCAGGGGAGAAATCGCTTTCTTGAGCAAGCTCTGCCCCATGGAACAAAGTATTATTCCTTTGAAGCATTTGTTTATATGCAAAATTTCCTCCATGTCAAAGAGGTCAAGGACAGGACACTGAGTTTCAGCTTCTCTCAGATGTTAATCATCCAAAGCATGGCCACATTGGTCTTCATAGAAAATATTAAGATTTCAGAATGGAGCCTTTTAAACTGTTTAGAGAACATGAGCACATGTAGGTTATTGCCTAGTTCACCAGATGTTTATTGAAGAATTAGTTGCATGGTAGAAAAATCACCTTTGACTTCTTCCATACTGTGAGGGACTGAGAACTGCAAGGTCTTGAGATACTTCTAGGGTTGAGATTTCTGAGAAGCAATGACTATTTTTGTGTAGCTTACAAGTAACTTAGAAACTGGTGGTGACATGCAAAAAGTTTTGTACACCATGATTTACATTTATTTATTTATACATAAATTAATTTCAAATAAGCATTTAAAAGATTCCTTTTCTCTCCTTTCACTTTCTTACCTTTATTTGTTTAGTTAGAAAACTCAGATGCCGCAACTAAGATAAAAGAGTAAGCACCTGACTGGGAAAATATTTGGGGGGACAGTTCTATAATTAGGGCATTACAAAAAAACCCACCTGCCCAGCACCCACCTAACTTCCAAAGGGAAGAGGGCATAAAACAGAGCCTCAGATGATGGACCTTAGTGAATGGGAAAGCTAATTTGGGAGAAGGTGGTCCTATACACCACAAAGTAGCTGAGAATGGGTCTTATGGCATAACTGACAAGAAAAGTATTGAAACATGAAAAAGAAACATATGAAAAACTGCTCAGTGGTAAGTTCAGATGTCATGCCAAAACACAGTTTGAGATAAGCATAGTTTGGGATGCAAACCATGGTTTGAGTGTCTAAATGTACAGGCAGCCGTGGTTTAGGCTATCAAGCACAGCTCTGCTCCCACTGTATGTCATGTTTCAACTTGTTCACTTCCTACTGGACTTCAGCTGAGCAGTTCAATATCTAGCATGCATTGCCGGATCCCACTGGCCAGCAAATCACAACCTTACTCACTAGCAAAGCTTGATCACAGCATTATATGCCTTCCTCTTCTTTGGAGATTTCTACTGGACTGCTTTACAAAACAGCAGTGTAGCATTGGGAGCTTCATCTACATGTCAATCCTCATTCCATGATTTCTCAAACCATGGGTTCTTTCCACTTATAACCAGTGGAAGCAAACAGAGAAATGCTCTGTTCTTTTTGGGGTGGGTGGGGGTCAGTATAAATCATGAGCAATGGAACAAAGACTCCTATCCTGGGAAGAGATACATTGTGGAATACATAAATAAACCTGGTTCGGAACAACAACTTGGTTGCTTGAAAAGTAAAACACCCCATGATGTGAGAAGGCATAGAAGAAACAGAGGCAAGGCAGGCAGCAGGTGTTCAGCTAAAGTTTTCTTTATTGAAAAGTTACCTTTGAACAGAACTCTCGGGGCAAAACCCCCAAATGTTAGCTACTGACATCACAGAAGAGAAGATAACAGTACCATTTCAAAAGCTGGAAGAAACCGCACACTGTATTTTTTACATCCAGCACAAGCTATGCTGAACTATTTTTAATCTATCCCTGCAGGATATTAGTAAAATCTTCCCTGAGATTACTTAGAATTTTTATAGGAAAATCAAATATTTAAGAGACACTTATAAAAGTGTCTCTAAAGAAAAACTGTGGATTGCATGTGACTTTCCAAAGGTAAAGGTAAAGGTTCCCTTGCTCGAAAGCCAGTCGAATCCGACTGTAAGGTTGCGGTGCTCATCTCTGTTTCAAAGCCAAAGAGCCAGCGCTGTCCGAAGACATTTCCATGGTCATGTGGCCGGCATGACTAAATACCAAGGCGCACGGAACGCTGTTACCTTCCCACTGAAGTGGTACCTATTTATCTACTTGCAATTTCTTGCTTTCGAACTGCTAGGTTGGCAGGAGCTGGAACTAGAGACAGGAGCTCACTTTGTCATGCGGCACACTCGGGTCTCGAACTGCTGAACTACCGACCTTCCACAGCCTGCAGTTCAGCATCTTAACCACTTGAGGCACCCAAATTCCTTTTGGAACAACTTCCCATAACCATCTGATCTCTAATAACCTTTTCTTGTCTTGATAATGATTCTTTAGGGATGGGAGGTGGCATGGTATAGCCTGATCTTGTCAGATCTCAGGGGGGTAAGCAGGGTTGGTACTTCGATGGGAGACCACCAAGAAAGACTCTGCAGAGGAAGGCAATGGCAAACCACCCTCTGCTTCTGACTTCCCTGGAAAGCTCCCTTGCTGGGGTCACTGTAAATCAGTTGTGACTTGACAACACATACATGTCTAATAATGGTTCTTTAATATGTGGGGTCTTTTAAAAAATCTGTACATAGTGGCTGATGATCCCACTATTATAAATGTACTTATTTAAAGAAAGAAAAAAACATTCTAATCCTATAGTAAACATATTAGAATCTACGATGCTATGGGTCTACTTTGGCACTGAAGATCTTAACAGCACAAACGCAGAAAGTAGGAGGGTGATTTAGGAGCTTCTTTCTGGGTGTTACAAGAGTGTTCCACTAAGTACAACTGGCTCCACCACCCCCTCGCCTCCTCCGTGCTTTGCCTTCCTACAGCCTTTTTATTTTTTTGTTTTTGCTGTGCTCCTTCTGTTTTGGCTCTCTTGGGTGCAACTGCCTCTGCCTCCTCACTTCCTCCCTGCTTCACCTTGCTACAGTGGGTATGTGTGTTTCCTTTTTTTCCCCCTGGACTCATGTTTTTGCTCTGCTGAGTGCAACTGGCTCCCCCTCCCGCTCCCCTCCTCTGTGCTTTGCCTTGCTACAGTGGGTGTGTCTTTCTTTTCTTTTCTTTTTTTGCTGGGCTCCTTCTGCCTTGGCTCTGGGGGGGGGGGAACTAGCTCTGCCTTCCCTCGCTTCCTCCCTGCTTCGCCTTGCTACAGTGGGTATGTGTGGGGGGGGGGGGGGTTTGCTGGGCTTGTTTGTGCTGAATTTAGAATGGGGGAGAGGGGTTGTGCCTCAGTTGAAGAACCTCTGCTTGACATGCAGAGAGTCCCAGTTTCTATCCTTGGCACCTCCAGGTAAAAGAACCAGGCTGTGGCTTATGAGACCCTGGAGAGTCACTGCCACTCTAAGCCACCCTGAGCTTGCCTTGGCAGTCTAGTGAATGGCAATCTAGTGAAACAAACAAACAAACAAACAACCTGAGGGGGGAGGGGGAGGGGAAGAAGCTCACAATGCCCAGCCATTTCATGTTTTCGCCTGGGCCAAAAGGCTCAGAGCACTGATTATGAGAGCGAGCCGGGGAAAGGGTTTGCTCCCCACTGCAGGCAGCTCAGGGGCATCAGCCCAGTGCTGCACTGCTGGCTCTCCAGTGGGTTTTCCTCTGCAGCTGAGGCCTTGCGGTGAGGACACACCAAGTTGATGCTTACCAGCAGCACACCAACTTGATGCTTACCCATAAATTGGTAAAATATCTTTAATTGTGTTTCTCTGTGTCCTTTATAAAGTTTTTATCTCTGCTACCTGACAATTACATGGCCAGCCTGACAATGTCTCATTTATGTCAGATCCGGCCCTCATAACAAATGAGTTCGATGCCTCTGGTCTACAGCAACATTCTCTTGGGAATCCTGTGCTAGTGCTGAAGACAGGAAACACTGGGTCCAGCTCAACACATGAGTGCTACACTTCTAAGGGCAAACCCAAAAAGAAACAGAGCCTTTCCTCTCCGAACTCATTTCAGCAGTTCATTCATGACCCAGTCAGTTTTGCATCCCTCAAGAGCCTATTTTTGTGAAGCATGGTCTGTTGGACAACATTCATCAGGAACTTCCCTGGACAGATGCTGAAGGTACTGCTGATGTCCCAGCTCACACAGCTCTGGCTGCTGTTAGTTCAGGATCTGCTGCTGTGGCAGGTTTCACAGTGGTAGTGGCTGCTTCTGGGGCACACAGGTCATTTGCTGCAGCATTGGTGGCACATCTGGGTTTCCTGGTGCATGTGCTCTTGAAGTACCGGCCAGCACTAAAGGACTTGAACCTCCACCTGCTGCTATAATGTCCCTCCCATGCAGTCCTGAAGTATCTGAAGAAGTGAGCAGTGACCTGCCACAAATCTTGTTAGTCTTTAAGATGCTACTGGACTCTTGCTCTTTTCTACCACTACAGACAGACTAACACAGCTACCCATCTTGATAAAAAACCCTGTTTGTGTGTCTCACGTGGGTTGGCTTTCTCAACCTAGGATGCTTCAAATACTCAGGCAGAAAAGGTAGTGGTGAACACCTAGAATGATTTTACCGTCAGCGACAAGATTTTGTTCAGCAATATACCCACAGGAAACGGAGTAGAGCTGAAGATTGCAACTGCAGCCTGTAGCAATGAACTGAGTGAAAAAGTTTCCAAGAATGCCATTAAACCACAAAACACAGGACCCAGATTTTTTCCCCAAACATTTCATTTATGAGTTTGTGACTCTTCTTCCACTCAGCATTCGCTTCTCTATAGAGTGTGGTGGTTAAAGCCTCAGATTAGGATTTGGGAGACCTGGGTTTAAATCCCCACTCTGCCATGGAAGCTTGCTTGGTGACTGTGAAGGTCAGAGGTTAAAATGCCATTTAAAAGAAGGTAGTGTGTTGTGCAGTTTGACCAGTTTATAACCCCAACCTCTACCTTATACACAGACACTACGTGACTTGAAGTAAACAGGGGGAGAAAAAAGCAACTTTTATTAACTTTCTTGGCTGGAATATGGTTGATCATTAAAGAGGCTTGCAACTATATACAAGTCTAACACAGCATTTGCTGGACGCACAAAGTGGGGCCATAACTCAGTGGCAGAGCATCTGCATGGCATGCAGAAGGTCTCACGTTCAATTCCCGGCGTCTCCAGTTAAGAGGATCAGGTAGTAGGTGATGTGAAAGATCCTTCTCTGCCTGAGACCCTGGAGAGCTGCTGCCAGTCTGAGTAGACAATACTGACTTTGACGGACCGATGGTCTGATTTGGTAAAAGGCAGCTTCATGTGTACATGTGTGTTCATGATGTTACAGTTAACAAGGCAGGGATGCAGAGAGCAGCTATCAGCCAAGCTTTGATACCACAGGTGAATCCTTAGACTTTCCCCAACTTTAGGAATAGGTGTGAGCTCCTTCTGGAAATTCCAATAACTTAACCTGCTATGTCTCTGAAAGAGCACTGTCTCTTATTTGGGCTGCTTTCTCTCAAAAACCAGGCTCTGAGACATACACATTTTCCTGTTTAAGGATTCCTTTCCACCAACTCCTCTGGAGCACAACCCCATTTGCAAACATTCACTGTTTTTCACCTGCTTGCTCTCAAAACCAGGTTCTGAGACAGGAACTCTCTTTCTGTGATTGCTCAGACCCTGCCTGACAAGAGCTGACAAGAGCTCCCTGCCCTGAGCCTGCTTGCGGGGAGGGCGGGGTAGAAATCAAATGAATAAAATAAAATAAATATATTTTTCCCTCTCTCTCCTTGCTCCCATCTGTCTCCTTCAGCCATCCAGGGGCCCTGATTGGCTGTTACCCACTCCACACACACACAAAACAGAAATACAGGGGGGATTCGTGACTGACAGATAGGGGCAGGACCTTTGCCATCCATCACAGTGAACTCAGGCCAATCACTGTCTCAGCCTAACTTACCTCACAGGATAAAGTTTGCAAGGATAAAATGGAGGGAAGGGAAAATGATGTTGTAAACTACTTTGGATCCCCACTGGGAAGAAAAGTGTGCTATAAGAACCTAAAAGAATGAAAAAGTGAATAAACAGCATTCCCGCCTCTAGAAATGGAATATCAGCAATTAAGAACAGCTAGCCAAGTTGGTCGGGACAAGCCATGAGCTTGACAGTTCCTCTGGCAGTATTTTTCTTGTGATTGAGAGATGCTGATTTTGCACAAGTGAAAGAGCTGAGCAACAGAAGGGTGTTCCCCATAGAGCAACACCACCCCTTGCAAAAAAGTACAGTGGAAGCAACATATAGAATCCAAGCCATGATAATCAAGCTCACATCAAACCAATCTCAAACCATGAGGAGCCAAGTCCAGACGTTATGCTGAATTCTGGTTAAGCTCTAAATAGTGTAGTCTGCCATGGCATCTGAACTAAGCAATTTAACATATCAGTATCCAACAAATATATTCAACTACCAATGATATTTGATCCCCATTCTGCAAACCATTTTTCTTAAAACCCTTAGGAGACATGAATCTTCATGAGTTTTCTGTAGTTTTAGATTGAGTTTTCTGTAGTTTTAGATTCCAAAATAAACAAACACAATGTCTTTAAAAACCCTCTACTTCCAGAACATCTAAATTTTTTCAGTAAACACAAATATGTGCTGCTTCCCTATACAAAAAAAGGTAATCTCAATTAAATGGTTGCTTTTGTGAGCCATTTCGCAAATTTCACTTGTTTTTTAATCTAGTGCGAGTGCAGCATGGACATAAATCAAGAAAAAACAAATTGGCAATAAATGTCAATCCCACCTCAGTTCTCAGTAATGCTGGACTTGAAATAGACTGGGGGGAAATCTCACCTGTTTCAAGTTTACATTTAGGCCCTCATGGGTTGCTTTTAACAGTGCCCTCACAGTGAAGCTGTCAGGATCTTCTTTATCCCGAATCTGAGACTCCTTTATCAAGGATTCGAGTTTCTTCCTTATAAAAGATTCCATTTGGTATTCAGTAGTGCCATTACTCTGAAACACATTAGACATTCCCAATGCAAATGTTGAGTGACTTTAAAACAGCAAACCATGCAGGACAGTTGTTTCTGCCCAAGTACTCTTGATTCTCCCAACAGGCTCCTTTGGAATTCCTGAGTTAGCAACAGAAGTATTAAGATTCAGTCATCCCCCTTATAAATTTGGTGATTCCCTTAGACACACAGTACTAGCTTAGATGCAGAGTACCTCTTGTACAAGCAGAATGAGACTTCCATTTACACACTACAGAAGTGGAAGGAAAGATTTTCTCCGATTTTCACCAACTTCCTCCCGGTAACGTCTCCCCATACAATATCTCAGACCATTCTGGATGACCACCACCACCCAAGCTCTCAGGAGAGGCATTGGAGAAGGCAAGAAGCAGAAAGGCTTGTTGCACGAATGAAAAGGGGCTTGGACTTCCCAGGATGCCTATATTACTGATACTAGGTTCCATCAAGTCTCCCGGCCAGTTGCCAAAGCCAAATAGATGGACCTGAGAACTCCACACACAAAACAAGATGTCAAGTCAGACACCAATGTAAAGGATGCGATACTATTTAGTAAGGAATTCTAATAATAATTACTTCAAAAACACACACTTGCTG